ACAAGATCTAATATTGCGGGAAATTTATAATTCAAACTCACCGTAAATTTATAGCATTCGTATCCTTTGTTTCGCCATGGAACTTAGCAATTGGAAATTAGGCATGCAGTGGTCAAAAAGTAAAATATTCTAGCAGATAGTTTCTGATAGAAGTTAGTTGATAGTGATTAAGCAGAAAGATGAATTAATAATCGGTAGTTAATCCTGTAATGCTTATACAAGTGGATAAGTTGCAAACATATGCGTTCGTGTTGCCATGTGGCTAAAATTACGAGTGGTTAATATTTTAACAGACATATTTCACAGGAGCATTTACAAGCTGCTGATGCTTGTTAAAGAACCATGATGACCGATTATAATCGCAGTTGATTGGTTGGTTCTATCGATTGAACTAACTATTTCAGTTGAAACACTAATCAGTTTCAGTTTCAGTTTGGAAAGGACAGGAGGCTTGATGGCCTGTGTTAGTCCTGGCAATGATGGTCTCTCAGCTGATCCAACTTTCTTTTGAAGGAGTCGACGGATGGAGCCTCAACCACGTGCTGAGGTAATGAATTCCACTCGTTGATTATTTGATGGGAAAGTCGGTAGTCAGCTGACAAGTAGTTCGTTCTGGGCTTGTGAACTTTTTTGGAGTATTCTCGTAGATTTTCTGTTTTGGAAGACAAGAAAAATGAGGGCATATCAAGTGCAAATTTGTCATTAAGCGATTTGAAAACTGTAATCAAGTCACCTCTGATTCTTCTATATGACAGCGGGAATAGGTTTAGCTTGGTCAGTCTAGTACCATACGGGAGCTTCGCTATTCCGGGAATCAGTCTAGTTGCTGTTCTCTGAATTCGTTCCAAGAGTTCACTGTCTTTTTTAGGCAGGGGCTAGCTGCTTGTATGCAGTACTCAAGTTTAGGGCGTACGAAAACTGTATACAAAGTCAGAAACGTTTTAGCGTCAAGATGCCTAAAAGCCCTGCGTATAGACCATAAAGTCCTAAAACCTTTGGCGGCTATTGCACGGCAGTGTGCAGTAGTCTTTAAGTCTTGACTGACGATGACGCCTAGGTCATTGTGTGCCTGAACAATAGGTAACTCAGTGTTATTCATCGTGTATGTATCTGTACCCTGGTGGCCAATATACATCACAATACACTTGGAAGTGTTTATCGGCAATTGCCAGATTTGGGACCATTCAGATAATCTCTCCAGGTCATTTTGAAGTTCTAAGCTATCACCCATGCTTTGTATCGCTCTCCACATCTTGACATCATCAGCATAGAGTAAGACCGATGACGATAGTAGACGAGGGAGATCATTTACATACAGGAGGAATAACACTGGCCCCAAAACTGTACCCTGGGGGACTCCACTAAGCACAGTTTCCCAGCTAGACAACTTGGAGTTCACTCTTACTCTTTGTTGACACCCAACTAGGAAGTCTTTCATCTACATCAATAGATTGCCTCCAATCCCGACGTTCCTTAGCTTATATAACAGCCGGTTATGCGGAACTTTGTCGAAGGCTTTGTTGAAATCTATGTAAGCTACGTCTATAGGTAATTTTTGGTCTTTAAGAGCGCACCAGCTTTCACGAGCGACTAATAAGTTTGCGAGACAAGAGTAACCTGTCCTAAAACCGTGCTGCTTTTCAGAGAGGATCCGGTTTTCATCGAGATACTTTAACAGCTCCTTCCGAATAATCTTTTCTAAGATTTTAACAACCACACTAGTTAGGCTAATTGGTCGGTAATTCCCAGGCTTATGTTTTGAAGACTGGACTTACTATGGCGTTCTTCCAGTCTTTTGGTAGACGACCCTGGGTTACGGATAGATTAAAACATACACTTAAAGGGTTCGCAACAAAGTTAGCTAATTCCTTTAGTAACCTAGGATGCAGTTCATCGGGTCCAGTGGATTTACCTATGTCAAGCTTAACTAGCAGACCAAAGACATCGAGTTCTTTAATGGTTACGCTGTCCAGTGCTTGTGTGGGGGGATTTTCATCGACTGGTGAGAAGGGTGTTTCTATGGTGTATACAACGCTAAACTATTTAGAGAATACTTGAGCTTTGCCAAAGTCGTCCTCCACTAGTGATGTGGCAGTACTGTCTCCCCATAGTAAAGGAACATTTCTTCTTCTTTTTGTCCTTTGGTTTATATACGAATACAAGCGTTTAGGGCATTCTATGGATTCCCTAACGATTTTCTCTTCGTACAGCTTTCTGGCCTTACGGAGGGTTGAGGCACAGGTATTTCGAGCCTTTTGATACTGAGATTTTGCCTCGTCAGTCCCCAGTAACCTAAATCTGTCCCACATTTTCCTTCTTTTACGGAGAAGGATGTGAAACTCCCTACTGAACCACGGTGGGGAGTTTCTCGGTCTCTCAGGTGTAGTCCAAGGGATGTGGGGGGCGGTAACTTTTAAGTATCAATTCCGGAATACGTCCCAAGCCGTTTCGATTGATGACTCTGGGTCTATTTTCCAATCTACTGATGATGCTGATTTCATGATGTCTGGTATGTTTGCTTTCCAGACGTTAGGTCTGGATTGAGCTGAGGCGTGCTCGTGATCGACAGTTATATGGAAGTCAAAGCTTAAAACTGCATGATCACTTTTGCCTAGGGGTGGCATGTAATCCAGGTTTGCAACATCATCCTCATAATGAGTCAATATAAGATCTAGTAAGGATGATGCAGAACCCGGGTCGTACCTAGTTGCTTCCTTCACGTGTTGCACTGGGGCACATGTGATTACCGCATCAACTAGTTCCTGTTCGAAGGAATTTGCTGACGATTCAGTCCACAGATTTCCCCAGTCCACCATGGGTGCATTAAAGTCCCCTAGGATTAAACATCGAACACTTCGTGATAAAGTGTTGAGACTGCTTAGCAGGACCTCGTTTGCCTCACAGCTTGGACTGCGATAGATCAAACTAAGTAACAACTCTTGTCCCCTGCATTTCAGGCGGCAGCAAACTAATTCATACGTCCCATTCTCAAGGGATACACTGTCGATAATGGTGAGTGGAATAGCATTCCTAATGAATAGAGCTACTCCCCCTCCTTTACGTGTTTGTGTTCTATCGGCCCTTACTAATGTAAAACCCTCGAGATCAAGTTCCCTACTATCTATAGACGGCGTCAGCCATGTTTCTGTGACTGCGATTATGTCTGGCCTAGTTGAGTTAATCTGTACACGTAGTTCCGGTAGCTTATTGAGTAAGCCTCGGGCATTGGTATAACAGATCCGAAGCCTATTTAGGTGGCCTCGTGCTTCACCCAGAGTGGCTTCGGCATCATCCTCTGTTGAAGCCTCACAACCCGAAAATTTACAATTTTCAGGTCTTCTTCGCCACCGTATAATCTGAGGTGTAGTTCCTTTTCGGCTTCCCGTCTTCTAAAACGGTCCGCAAACGGTAAGTCCTTACGGAGAAAAACTCCTGAACCATTAATTTCTAAGATTAAGTCGCGTCCGTTTGGGGATTTGAAAACGACTTTGAGTAGCCTAGACTGATTTGGTTTCAGATGCGCTAGATTTCCTAGTCTATACACCTTTAGCAAGGTGGCTCCGAAGATGTTTTTGGACATAACTTGATTGAGTAGTTGTTTTATCAACACAATGTCATGCTCAAAACGAGCTTTCGGTTCTAAGCTGTCACTCTCCTTGACTCTATGGAGAATGACTGATCTGTCGATGTGATCAGACCTCGGCTTGTCGACCCTTTTGGTGGGGGTATGATTTCCTTTTACGTCATTTTGGCGTTTTTTTCTTACGACCCGTACCCAATCGCCAACGTTCTTTAGGGTGGTAACCACAATCGCGTCAGGCGTACTGTGGGATTCCGGAAGGTTCAGGACGACATTGATATGAAGCAACGAATGTTCACATAAACTGATAAAGATAGCCGAAGTTTAAAATGAAAAATAATAAGTATAGAATGCAATAAAAAAGATCATAATGATAGGTTGCGTTATTCGAAGTCTTGCTCTCCAGTGTAAGATCATCTACGTTGATAATCTATGTCAAAATGATTGAAAGGGTCTACTAGAGTTAGACGAGAATGGTGAAGAAACAACTAACGCTGAAGTCACACCTCGCGATCGGCATCTTACGTGGAATTCCCCATCGACGTATCAAGGGACATGGATGCTATGGAGACTGTACAACATAAAGTACGTTAATACAAGAATATATTAATTAAGGTACAACCACGAAAGTACAGAAGCTAAAGTTCAACCACCGCCGCATGGGCCAGACCATGGCGTATATTGACTGGTGCGCGTTGACTATCCTTGACCTTGACAGGGATCGATGATCTGTTCCATATTCAGTGACATTTCACCGACCCTACAAGAGTATCGTATGGTAACCTCAGTTAATAATGTATTTGTAGTTCGCAGAAGTTTCTTTAACCAAGCGTAATTCTTGCCTCAGGGTTGAAAGTTACCATCGGATGACGGTTTAGTGGTTGGTCATTCGTGACCGCATTGTGAATATGGGATTCAGGCAGCGAGTCTTTGTTTCGAGTATTAGGTGGATATGCTGGAACGATCTCAACGACAAGAGACTAAAATGGTCAATGGTCTTTCTGGCCTATATTGTGAAGAAAGACTGAGACACTTGAACTTAATTCCGTTATCTTATAGCAGATTACAGGGTGATCTAATATTGGCTTGTCACATACTGAGTGATGACTTTGGAATTAATAAGTCTTATCTTTTCCCTCCGTCTAGAACTGGTCACTTGAGAGGACATCCTAAGAAAATCCAAAAATCGATATCAAATTGTTAACATCTGGAGTTTCGTTTCTTGCACCGAGTAGTGGGTTATTGGAATTCTCTATCAGAACACGTAATATCAGCGCCTTGTGTTGATATATTCAATACGAGATTGGACCGTCACAGTTTTACAAACTGCAAGGATTAATATATGTCAATAGACCTCCTACCCTTATTATTGAAGACTAATAATCCCAGGCTTGTTGACCTTGGAAGTAGTTTGCGAACTGTCTACACTATTTGTCTTGGTCAAGTAGTGGAGGCAAAGTGAAATTCCCCAAAACATGCGTAACCTCAACCTGTCGAGTTGTGGTAGTTTGTGGCTAGAAGGTCACAATGTACGTCATATCTCTCTGGACGACTGCTCTAATAACATCACTGTTTCTTTTGAGAAAAGCATTGAGTTAATCAGTAGCATGGGGGTAGGTTTTTAAAAACTCAACAAACAGATGTAATTAGGTAAATACTTATCACGCTCAAAGCACCCAACAAGAGATACATAGTTGTTTTGCGATATCTCCACCTGTATATTTGGTTGCAAGTTCCAGTGAAATATTTCTTTGGCATTCACTGAATCACCAAGTATGTTGTTTTGTACCATCATAACAAGCAGATTTATGAAAAACTTGATCTCAAAACGGAACTAAAAGCCATAAGTATTTCTCCAGATCTTTCAAAAACGGTTGTCGTAACTGGTAAGTAGGTTCGCGACCAAAGATTTTCAGGCGATGGTTTTATTCATATTCTTTCTTCGACTCTCGAAACTATATCCAACTTTTCACTGTACGAGGAAGGTTTCGGGTCGGGTAAGTATTTACTATTACTATAACCCCCTCTCAGCTCTGCCAGTTTCTCTAGGTTGGGGTAAGAAAGAAACTCAGTTTCATGGCTCTGAAGGCAAGGAAGCAGCTTTAGCAAAACCGGTATGGATTAAAATTTGTTTACTAAGAGCTTATAAACTATTTATCGCGCTTTTTGGTCTTATAGGCTTTATTGAGTCCTTTCAATGGTTGTGCAATATTAGTATTTGTTATATTTGCGGGTAATTTCTGAATGGCTGTTTTGATTTGTTACTATAAGCGCTGTTTAGTTCTTAAAATGTGCAACATACGGACCAGTGATCGATAAAAAAATGATTGATTAGCTGTTTGTTGTATCTACTGATTTCTCTTAATTGAGAAAAGATTGAAACTGATCACTAAATCCTTAATTCACTTTTTCTAATGAAGCAAAACACCCTCTTGTACACAAAAGTATAAGATGAATTATTTATTTAAAGGTGACTTAATATCAGTTGAATTTAGATTGCCACCTAATTTTCTGTGTGCTATAACAGCCCTGTAGTGAAGTAATGCTTAATTTAATATTTTATCCAGTGTTGTAGATAGTTTTAAATTGTTTTTTTACAACTGATCAGCAGTTGATTGTTAATTGTTTTGGTTCATGAAGGCAGTAATGACTGCTCTCACTTACGTGTAACTATTTATAGCTTCACTATATGTTAAGATGAGTTGATTATCGATCAGTGTTACAGTTCTAGGCACATTAATTTCAAATCATGAAGAGTTTTCCTATCTATTCAATTCGCCTTCCTGTGTAGTAAATAAGTACTAATACATGCTTGTTTATCAACCACAGGTTTATTTAGTTGACCTTCAGGTATACTGTTTTTGTGAGTTAGTAAAACTACAGCCCTCCTAGTAAGACCAAATTAGGTTAATGAGAGTCCGAACATGCAGCTAACTGGTTGGTTAAAAACTGAATGCTTTAAAAAATAAACCACCACTTGACAGTTCTATTCCTTCCGAAGTGTACAGTTCATTTTTTATCCTTTTCTAACCCCCTCTCTTCTCTCATAAAAAACTTATTAATGGACCTATACATCGAAAAAATTTGTCGTTTTAATTAACCGATCAAATCACTAAGAAATCATGCAGTATCAAGATATTCACTTACCCTAGACCCACTTGTTACGTTCTTTTACAAGCAGATAAATTATCACTTGAAGGGAATTCCATGGTTGGCACTGAATGGGGAGGTAGGCAACTGTGATTTTTAAGCAATTATCGTGACTTATCAGATACAATGTCTCCTTTTTTTAAGCTTCACAGATAACCGAATAGTAATTAGTGTCAGCAACTCCTTAGCGTTTCCGAAAAATATATCCAGAAAGACAACTGGTTAGTTTGCTTTAATTGTGTATTAACCAGCAGAAGTAGATTAAATGCAGACTGCAAAGCAAAGAAATATTCAAATTAAAGAAAATCCTTGTGTAAAGTATTCTATTTTTAACCATATCGTGTGTCTAGATCTTAATAAATATTTCAGTAAACGTATTAAATTTAGTTACTGTATATATATTAATCAAGAAATCATCCGTTATTCCTGTTTTCACATCAGATTCTACCAGTCTCAAACACTCAATATGATGATGGTCGTTTCGAAATTGCATGGCGTGATGATGGTCTTTATTTCGCCGTATCATGGATTGATCCATTAACAGAGAATCGTAGACGTATACGCGTCTACAATGATACTGGTGAACTGTTTTCAACAACTGAAATAACGAATATGATTTCCCCAGGGCTTTGTTGGAGGTAGATTAATTTCGTCAAGTTTTCTTCGTTAATTTTTTCCGGTTTATTCTAAGGTGATCTCTTTTTACGTAATCAGATTGGTTCTTAATTGTTATTGACTATCAGTTAATTATTGGTTCCTCTAGGTTCATAATAATGTATTACCTCAATCATCAGGTTAAATAAATGAAATCGAATTTAATAAGATTTCACTTCTTGTGGTTTGATTGTGTAGGATTTCTTGCAGTCAAGAGTGTTGTAACTAGTGCTCAGTGACTTAGTAAAATTAACTGGAATTCACGTACATGATTTTAATGCTAGTTAACTCTTATCAATGTCACATAACAGTGTATAAGATTTCACAGCCTAAAAAATCCCTAATGTAGTAAAATCCATGTATAGTGCACCAATAAACTGATACCGTGATATTTCTATTAAACCTCAGACCTCGTGTTCAGTTAATTACAACGGCTCAACGACGAGAAGGTTGTGGATTAGATATCATATTTTTCGAATCGAACTCTCAACGTCATGGAGAATTCGAACTGATCAACGGCGAATCTGAAAAGTTTTACCAAGTGGAATCTATTCTGTTTAGTCCGACTGGTTCAATTTTGGCAGTGCTGTGTAGTGGGACTCAAAACCACCCATGGTTTAGTAAGTGTTATTAATATTCGGTATAATGAGAATCTCGAAATTTAATAATTCATATTCTTTTATGCTTAATTTCAAATGCACCTTTTCGCTAACGAAAATGACGTTTGTAAGGTTGTTTGTTAAATAGATCACAAACATATTATGTATGTTTCCTGTTGAACGTAGGTCATTCATGTAGATTAGGATAAATTTTTCTATTATTAAACTTAAAACGGTTAATTGGGAGGGGTAGTCGTCTGTAAGAACTGTCTGGCTGGAAAAATGTGAACCACTGAATGTTAGCTCAGTAGCGAATTAGATGTATAGCGCTCATCACTAGCTTTTAAAGTTTTTGTGTTTGATCTCAACCACCTATCTGAAAATTCTAAAACTACGACAATAAACCTCTAACCAATGCCCTCTAGCTTTCTATGATTACCTAATTGATGCTGTTCAGTGGTATAAACTAATTTATAGTAGCCACCGAAGAAAAAGGCGAAGAATTAAGAATGTAGTTCGAAAAGACTGAGTGAAAATTTATGTATGAAGGAATACTGAAATTCAAGACTGAGGAGTAGATAATTAATACATCTGTGCCATCATGAACGATTCTGAGCCATATCACCCAAGTCTTCAGGCTCTAATCCTAGTTATCACGTGGATCCCAACCATGTAGTCTGCATCTACTATCATGGTTTAGACTAACAATCAATGACTTGATAGGTTGACTCCATGTGTTGGTGATAACAATAGTCTTATTCAACCTGTGTTCCTAATAATCATTAATAGGAAATTGAATTTCTAATATGTATTTCCATTTTTGTTATTGCTATTAAAAATGTACTAAATGGTCAATTTGTTTAAAATTATCAAGTCAAACCTTAGTAATGGTATTCATCATTTTTGGTTACATTAAAGGGTTTTCAGTACAAAATATGTATTGCGGTGGATTCCTCTGTAATGACATTTTTAAATCACATATTTACATATACATGTGTATATGTTTCATATTTGAATTATAATATAATCTCCCCTTGTTCTTCCAAAGAATAAATTAAGAGATAACTAATGTGATAGTTTTTCATGAATTTTACAGTATTTCATTAATGAATGATTGGATGCATGTGAATGCATAAGACATTTCGCATGTATACTCATTTGGTTCGAACAAGTATAAAATAAGGTTTATTAAAATATTTGCACAGTTGGGAAATTTACTTATTTCGTTTAAAGCATAAATTCTGGTACAATATGACACCAAAATAATGCACCACAGAAATCAAATGATAATATTGTAAAGAAATGAAGTAGGAAACTGTAGTACAGTCTATAAGTGAGTAAGAATTGTATTTGATAAAAGATACTGTTCAGCTGATAATCTAGGCAAGAAAAATCTCTTTCAGTTAGGAAAGTTCATCTAACTTTTTATGAAGTGTAATAGAAAACTACAGAATCACCACTGGCTTTTTCTTCAAGCCATATTTGACAGCGTTTATTACACAGACCTCAACCAGTTAGTCCAAATCTACCAACGAAGCTCAATACCAGAGTCGATGACTTCATCTACTGATGGAACGTCTTGGTTTGATTCTCCTTAGCTTTATTCCAGCCAACTCCTACACCAGCGAACAACGCTTGTTGAGGTAGGCTGTGGTCAGGTTTATGTAACATATGTCCGAATTACCCCATTCTATGAAGATTCCCAGTCTCATCAACGGACTTTTCATCTTTAATTAATAACCTATGACTAACCTCAAAATTACTCACTCGGTTGTCCCATAAAATGTGGCTAGTGTTTTCAAGACACTTATGGTCAAATACTAGTGACCAACGAATATTCTCTTCTTTAAAGGCCAAGCTCTACAACTTTAAAGTAAAGCAAGAACTACTACATAGTTAACTCGTCCTGTGGTTTGCAAACTACTCCGCCTGTAGCTCCTCTATGGGTTACTGCCGGTCCCAAGCCCGGGTAAAGGAGGAGGGTTGGGCATGGGGTTAACGACCCCATCCCGTAGAAAATCAACTCGTTAAACAAAACGCTAACCAGAAAAAATCATTCAAACCATTTAAACTCTGCCCTGGGAGTAGAAGGAATAATTATGACGTCTCATGATGAAAGCCGAGTTCATTCGGAAGTCATGAGGCCGATGCACCTTCTTACAACCAGAGCAACAATTTTTATAGGTACATGGAATGTCCGGACAATGTGGGAGACCGGAAGAGTCTTCCAAATTGCTGCGGAAATGAGAAAATACAACCTGGAGGTGCTTGGAATCAGTGAAACGCATTGGACGCAGGTTGGACAACAACGACTGTCTTCAGGAGAACTTCTGTTATACTCCGGTCATGAAGAAGAAAATGCCCCACATACACAAGGAGTTGCATTGATGCTGTCCAGAAAAGCACAAAATGCACTTATTGGATGGGAATCTCATGGACCAAGGATCATCAAAGCCTCCTTCAAAACAAAGAAATAGGGCATTACAATGAACGTCATCCAATGCTATGCGCCGACCAACGACTACGATGAAGACGCTAAAGACCAATTCTACGATAGGCTGCAGTCGATCTTCGAGAAGTGTCTAACCAAAGACCTGACCATTCTGATGGGAGATCTCAATGCTAAGGTTGGAATGGACAACAGTGGATACGAAGGCGTCATGGGACAACATGGACTGGGAGAAAGGAACGAAAATGGTGAGAGATTTGCAAACCTATGTGCCTTTAATAAACTGGTCATAGGTGGCACCATATTTCCACACAAAAACATACACAAAGCCACTTGGATTTCACCGTATCACACTACATAGAATCAAATCGACCACATCTGCATCAACAAAACGTTCAGGAGGACGATGGAGGATGTGAGAACCAGAAGAGGAGCTGATATAGCATCCGATCATCATTTTCTGGTCGCCGAGATGAAACTAAAACTCAAGAAGCACTGGACAACTGCGCGGACAACATCACAAAAGTTTAATACGGCCTTTCTTCGAGATGCTGACAAACTCAACAAATTCAACATAGCCCTCAGCAACAGGTTCGAGGCCTTTCATGATCTACTCAATGGATAGGGGACTACCATGGAGAGCAACTGGAAAGGTATCAAGGAGGCAATCGTTTCAACATGTCAGGAGGTTCTGGGCCAAAAGAAGCACCATCACAAGGAATGGACCACTGTTGGTACACTGGATAAAATTGAAGAAAGAAGGAACAAGAAGGCAGCAATCAATATCAGCCGAACAACAGCAGAAAAAGCCAAGACACAAGCCGAATACACAGAAGTAAACAAGCAAATTAAGTGGAGCATCAGAACCGACAAGCGTAAATATGTGGAAGATTTAGCGATGACAGCGGAAAAGGCTGCAAGAGAGGGAAACATGAGACAACTGTATGACAACAAAGAAACTTGCTGGAAATTACCGTAAACCAGAAAGACCAGTGAAAAGCAAGGAAGGCAAAGTAATCACCAACATTGAAGAACAACGAAACAGGTGGGTAGAACACTTCAAAGAACTCTTGAATCGACCAGCTTCACTGAACCCACCCAACATCGAAGCAGCACCCACGGACCTCCCAATCGATATTGGCCCACCAACAATTGAAGAGATCAGCATGGCCATTAGACAAATCAAGAGCGGCAAAGCAGTGGGACCAGACAACATCCCGGCAGAGGCACTGAAAGCAAATGTAGTAGCATCTGCCAAAACACTACACATCCTCTTCAGTAAGATTTGGGACGAAGAACAAGTACCAATAGACTGGAAAAAAGGACTTCTGATCAAGATACCAAAGAAAGGCGATCTCAGCACGTGCGAAAACTACAAGGGCATCACTCTTCTCTCAATACCAGGAAAATTATTCATCAGAGTATTGTTAAACACGATGAAGGATTCCGTGGACGCCCAACTTCGAGATCAACAAGCTGGATTTCGTAAGGATAGATCGTGCACAGATCAAATCGCAACTCTACGTATCATTGTGGAACAATCAATCGAATGGAATTCATCACTCTACATCAACTTCATCGACTACGAGAAGGCATTTGATAGCGTGGACAGGACGACACAATGGAGGATTCTTCGACACTACGGCGTGCCTGAGAAGATAGTCAATATCATACGGAACTCCTATGATGAACTAAACTGCCAAATCGTCCACGGAGGACAACTCACCGACTCGTTTGAAGTAAAGACCGGTGTTAGACAAGGTTGCTTACTCTCACCCGTCCTCTTTCTCCTGGTGATCGATTGGATGATAAAGACGTCAACATTTGGAGGAAATCACGCGATACAGTGGACAGGCAGGATGCAGCTTGACGATCTAGACTTCGCGGATGATCTGGCTCTTCTATCACAAACGCAACAACAAATGCAGGAGAAAACGACCAGTGTAGCAGCAGCCTCAGCAGCAGTAGGTCTCAATGTAAACAAAGGGAAAAGCAAGACTCTCCGATACAATACAATATGCACCAATTAAATTACACTTGACGGAGAAGCTTTGGAGGATGTGGAAACCTTTACATATCTGGGCAGCATCATTGATGAACACGGTGGATCAGATGCGGATGTGAGGGCGAGTATCGGCAAAGCAAGAGCAGCATACTTACAACTGAAAAACATCTGGAGCTCAAAACAATTGTCAACCAATATCAAGGTTAGAATTTTCAATACAAATGTGAAGACAGTTCTTCTGTATGGGGCGGAGACGTGGAGAACTACGAAAGCCATTATCCAGAAAATACAAGTGTTTATTAACAGCTGTCTACGCAAGATACTTCGGATCCGATGGCCAGACACTATCAGCAACAAGTTACTGTGGGAGACAACAAATCAGATTCCAGCGGAGGAAGAAATCAGGAGGAGGCGCTGGAAGTGGATAGGGCACACTTTGAGGAAATCACCCGATTGCGTCACAAGACAAGCCCTCACATGGAATCCTGAAGGTCAAAGGAGAAGAGGAATACCAAAGAACACATTACGCCGAGAAATAGAAACAAACATGAGAAGAATGAACAAGAACTGGATAGAACTAGAAAAGAAGGCCCAGGACAGAGTGGGTTGGAGAATGCTGGTCGGCGGCCTATGCTCCTTTGGGAGTAACAGGCGAAAGTAAGTAAGTAAGTGGTTTGCAAACGGACATCCCACCTAGTGCACAAATGACGCACTCTGGCAAGAGCCAAGCAAAATTTTCAGAACCTCTGTCAAATCCGTTTCGGACCCTAACCCACTAGGACTAATGAGACTTCTAATATATATGAAGTGGACCATCAACCCAACTACTGCACTTTCTGTCATTGTAGTGTATGCCACTTATGTTGACAGATGTAAGTAGTATGTAGCACCATTCGAAAGTGGAATGCATGCCAACAAACGGTTAGGAAGATTTAATTGGGAAAAAACAGACAAGGAAACAGAAAGCAATCTTAATAAAAACGGAATTTAGAGAACCATGAAGCATGTAAAGGATGAATGATGGGAAATATGCAAGTTAATTAATTATGTACGGTTGTATGATTTTTATGTTTTATGAAAGTACCCTGTAGTTTTACATTATAAAGAAATTGTTTATCCCTATCAAGTCTGCGTTCAGTTTAGGCGTTGATTCAGATCAGTCCTAAATCGACATTTTGCATTTAGTTAAACTCTGTTATAATGACCTTAACATACTCAAGGGAAAAAGCGAGAACACCAACCCAATCACACTTGATGGAGAAACTCTGGAAGAGGTGGAATCTTTCACGTGCCTGGTAAGCATCATCGATGAACTAGGAGGATCTGATACAAACGTGAAGGCGAGGATTGGAAAAACAAGGACCGCATTCCGACAATTGAAGAACATGTGGAACTCAAAACAACTATCTGAAAGTCAAATCAAAGTCAGAATCTTCAATACGAACGTCAAGACAGTTAGTTCTATTGTACAGAGCTGAAACTTCGAGAACTGCAACAACCAACAGTTGTTTACTCAAGATACTCAATGTCAGTTGAACGGATACCATCAGTAACAGCCTACTGCGGGAGAGAACAAATCAACTTCCTGCTGAAAAGGAAAATCGGGAAAGACGTTGGAAGTGGATAGGACATACATTACGAAAATCATCAAGCTGCATCACGAAGCAAGTGCTTACCTGGAATCCTGAAAGGAAATGGAAAAGAAAAGGGCCAACGGACACTGCGTCGAGAATTGGAAGTAGATGTGAAAAGTTACTTACGCCTGTTACTCCCAATGGAACATAGGCCGCCGACCAGAAATTTTTCTGGTTAGCGTTTTTCTAGCGAGTTAGTTTTCTACGGGATGGGATCGCTAACCCCATGCTCAACCCTCCTCCTTTACCCGGGCTTGGGACCGGCAGTAACCCCCAGAGGAGCTACAGGCGGAGTTAGATGTGAAAAGGATGAGTAGCAACTGAAAAAATATTTCCCATGACAGGGTTGGATGGAGAATGGTTGTGGGCAGCGTATGCTCCTCCACAAGGGGTAACAGACAGAATTAAGTAAGTAGCAATGATGGTTGGTACAGGCTTTGTTTTCTATCACATATTTTCTATTGTTACTTGAATAGTAAATGCTTCATCAACATATTTATATCATTTAAGGATGAAACTTATGTGTCTGAGTCTCCCTCTCTCTCTTTGCTAAATTGTGTACAGTTCGACTATTAACCTGCTGTAATTACCAATGGTCAATAAAACAACATTTCTGTATAACTGACAATTCATTAAACGATAGTCAAATTTCCAATATATCATTAACATGGGATTATCATGCTTACAGTACAGATTTGTCAACTCTTTATTGTGCTATATCAATTAATGGATTGTTGCCTAATAATAATCAAGTTAACAGTAAGACATTATTACAATGCTGGAAAATGAATAACATGTATAATTCGTCGTGCATATTAACAAATTCTAGTGTAAATACAGTAAAATCAATAAATTCTGGTCTTGTTGCAGTAATCAATGGAAGTAAGCCTTTTAATTATGTTTTTACTATTTGTTCACTATTAAAACATATTCGTTATCGCGAATAGATGGAATGTATGTGACTGACTGTAAAATCTAGGATGTGCGTTTCATCCTATACTGGACTGGTCAGCTGGATATACCTGCATTGCAGAGTTGGTTTTCTCTCGGCGGCTCGAACCCCAATACAGTTTGCTTCAAACTCCATCCCATTAACCACTTAATTACTGATTTCAGATAGCCACTCATTTGTGCACCAGGTATGCGATTTAATTGAATTTGAAATGGTTTCAGTTATCCCATTGTTAATATTTTTGGCTGAAATTTGATTGTATTCTATATCGACTGGTATCATAATGACTATGTCGAGACAATTCACACACAATGTCCATTTGCTAACCAAGACTGATCAAATTTCAGTCAAAAATATCGACAATGGAATAATCTAAACCATTTCAAATTGAATTATTCATTGTCATATTCATGTTTATTTTGATACAAAATTCTTGCGAAAAATCGGCAAACCATATTGTTTGTATGTAGAGTGGCTGAAGTTTTTATAAGTGCGAACAAGTGTAAATTATAGCCGTTTAAAGTTGTATTATTCATTTATAAAAGACTTAATTTAATTGTAAAATATCAGTACGAAATTATCATCATACCAAGTAACTTTGTATTTATGACAATACATTTTCTGTGATTACATGGCGCGTACCTTAACTCATATGACAGGTGTTAAAACATTTTCAACTGATTGAGAACATTTTGTACTGATTAATGTGTTGATAGAATGTAATCATCATTTGTCTTCGCCTAATTGGATAGACACTGCTTAGGAAATCCCAAATTAGAATTTAAAAAATGTTCAGTGCCTCTAAGTGCATAGGAGTTTTCTGGAGGACACTACACTATTTCAAGAAAAACTGTCTTTAGACTAAACAGCCTTTCAAAAAAAACTTTCATGACTTGAAATTTGTACGGGGAAATCGAGACAATCTACTCAGGATGCACATGTACCAACATTAACAGTGAGAAATGATATAAATCCTTACAAATCAAATTCGTATCCACTTCGAAAATTATTGGCTTTTTGAACTCAGTAGCCCCCGTAGATGATGATATGTTTACATTTGAAACTAAAGGTATCGGATCGGAATTGTTGTGAACATCAATGCAGAAATACAGGTACATCCTACTAAAGAATCCTAAATAGAATGGAACTTGTATTAGCCTATTACTCGACGCTATTCAAATTTAATAACAAATTACAGATCATAATTTTTTAATGAGTTTTTATGGATGCGAATGATGATTGATTGTAAAAATAATGGGTAAACTAATGATCGTTAGATAATTCATAATAATGCAATGCGGGGCTGACTGCTTACGAAAACAAAGCCTTTAAGTGAACTGTTATGCCCTGGTGCGGCCGAGAGTGGGGAGAGTCTGCTCTCCCTCTCGAAATGCTCTTACATGGCCACGCGAATATATAGCCTCTGCCAGAGAAGTCCTACTCACTGCCTTCTCGTGGCGGGGGTGTTGCTTACGAAAGTGAGAGGACGAAAAGCGAATGTCCGGCGCTATAACCGGGTCGGTGGACAAGGCGAGTCCACCTAGGGGAGTTGGAAAACCCTGATTCCAAACCAATGGTGCACATGGGCTCCAGTATCCTGATGGAACGAATGGCGAATGAACCTGTTGTTGGTCAACGGCTACCATGGGACTGCATCTCCTCACGATGCTCCACTGCCTTGTGGATTAGACCTCTAGGTCAAAGGCTCGAGGTGTGGCCCCCTAAGAAAACCACCTGCTTCAGTTTGGGCACCCGGGCAGTATCACAGCCCTCTCGCAAATAAATGAAATGGAACATTCAGCTGACGATTATATTCTCGTTCATACAAGAAACAATTCAATTTACATTATTATTATTATTATTATTATTATTATTATTTACCATATCGCTAATTCACCCCCTTTTATCCACAATTTGTGTAACCTTACTTTCCATCTTAAGCAGCAGCTCGCTCTTGGTGGAAAATCTGTCCTATCTAAACGATCTCCAGTCACTGTCTGGTTGAAAGTGTATGCTTCCACCGAATATGAATACTGAAGCAGTCTTTCTGAAACCACGTACGCCGTTGTCGTGGCATGAAAAAGAGCTGCAAAAGGCTAGCTTTTGTTGGTCCTTCACGACTCCCTGGCTGGGATCCAAGAGATGGTGCAACACAGTGGCTAGAGACGTTATCAGATATGGCTCAGAATAGAAGCCAGTGGCGAACCTGCTGCAACCTTCTTCTACTTTCTTCATAAAGAGTAGCTATAACTTTCCTAACTGAGAGAGCTCTTCTGGTTGTACATTCAGTTCCCCCCATCATCACTCTTCTCCTTTTCTTTTTTTCCTTCTTTTATATATTCGCATCTTCTTCCTTCTCCCATTCTCATTATTTTGTGTGGCGCATATGTATCCGGTGCACTTTGTACCAATATATATGTGATCAAATAAAAAAATTGGTATATAATTCCCATTTAAACATTAAAATTAAAACACAGATTTCAGCGAAGGGATCTCTTTTCAACGAATTTATTATCAAGCTGTACAATCGTATATATATATATATATATATGAAAATGTTTTGTTAAAGTACTAATTCCGTGAGGAAATGTGAACACTAATAACCAAGATTACAATACTGGATTACGTAATATGAATAACAACAATAGATTTAGTGAATATAGTAAGACGGATAAAATGTTTTGGTTACAATAATTAAAGGTCATAGAGGTGTAAAATAAATAAATAAATAAATAAATAAATAAATAAGGTGATGAGTATTCATGAATAAAATAATGAGAATATAAAACATAAGTAAAGGGGGAATGGAGTAATAATAATAATAAAATAATGAGAATAATAATATTAAGGCCATGGTAACGATAATGATAAAACGTACTTCTTTTGTACGCATAGTTCTGGTTTGAGCTCATGGATGGTAAGAGCTTCGGCTATTTTTAAAAGTTTGATCCGAAGAAATCTTGGTAGATTTGAACGAATCATATAAACAACCTTAAAATCAGACTGTGGATTCGTCGAATGATTACAGTCGATTAGGTGTTCGAGTATAGAACTTCGAACTGCTTTCTTTCCACCATTGTAGAACCAAGCTGGTATATGTTCTCGTATCCGGGTTGAAAGCGAGCGCTGGCTACGGCCGATGTACCTCGCTCCACAAGAGCAGGTGAACTGGTAGATGCACATGGAGGCGACCAAACGCGGAAGCTTATCTTTTATGGATACAGAAATTAAGTTCTTACTGGTGAAGGTTATTCGTAGTTTTGCAGCGTTAAATGTCCTTTTAATCGTTGTTGTTAAACGATTTTTAATTATGTCTGATGTTCGATCACCTTTAAATTCCAGACTTATATAAAGGCTTTTCTTTGGCACTGAATAACTAGGATTCTTACCGACGCTACTTCTGTTCATATTCTTTTCTATGAACCGGTCTGGGTAGCCATTTTTCAACAAAGTTTTTTTGAGGAACGCTAGTTCTTCGTTGATGCATTCTGTATTACATATCCGATGTATACGATAAGAAAACTACATAACTGTTCAATATAATATGTTTTTTCTTCTGCAAAAAAATAGTAAACACAGAATTAAGTATAATCAGATTTCACTTAACAATCAGGCAATTAAATGAAATACTCTTTTTCAGTTGCTCATTCTTCAATTAAATCATTGTGTATCCAACGTAAATAAACTTCAAAAAATCGCTTTATTGTCTATAATATTTAAATATTTCTTGTCGTATCATTCTTTTTTAAATGAGTATATCTGTTCATTATTTCAATAATTTTTTAATCAATAAACGTACAAATGCTACACATTTATAATAAAAAACTCTTATTTGATTTGTCTTTTCGTTTCGTTATCCCTATATTTCTCACCTTAGATACCGTTGAAATGAGTTGTTTTGCTTATTCAGTTATTCCACCTCCAATGTTTGCAACACGACTGGTATTCTATTCAAATAGTGCAAATCAATCCAATAAGATACAATGTAATTTCACTCCATTTGTTTCGTCTGTATCTATTCCTAGTTTATGGTTGGGAAATGAATCGCATTCGTTCAACAATGTTATGCCTATGTTAATTCAATCAGTCGACTGTCAGTCATCCAAAAATATATTTCCAAATACGTATTTTATTACCGTCACAAATGGAACCTCTTTAGAGAAGGAGTCATTTTGTAATGATGAGGTGTACTCTGAATGGCATAATGGAGCAAAGAATATTGCACCTTGGCCAAGATCTGTTGCTAAAATTGAGTGAGCCTTTTTGACTTAGTTTTATAACTTCTTTGTGTCAGACAATGTCACAGTGAACTGTAGAATCAGAGTGACTTCAAGATTTTCTGCTATTTGATCTACTATTTCAAAAAAACTTAGAACGTTATATATATAATACCAGATTAATCCTTTTAAATATTTATGTGCAATATCCTTGATACGATAAATAATCCACCAATTTACAGCTTCCCTAGCCACTCATCTCTGTCCATATATCCTTGTAACAGCATATGATTTGTCGGGGCTTGGGTGAAGTAGCACTAAGATCATTTTTAATCTAAGAGATGAGGGTCTCCTGGTTGATCGAATATTCGTTTGCAAACAATTGTGAAATAAATCGTCATCACATTTTGAGGTAGAGGAAGTCCTTCATGTTGACTATTCGATGCTAAAGTTGACAGTCAGTTGACAAGTAGTTAGTTCTAATCTTGTAATTCATTTTTATTTCTCCTTATAAACTCACCGTTTCATAATGTAAAAAATTCTTACACATCAAATCTAAAATCATCATTGAATGATTTAAATTTTATAATCAAAGTCTCTGAAATGATGGAGACATCCTCTTTTGTGCTTAGGGGAATAGACTTATTTCTCATCATCAATCTACCGTCATATGGGACCTTCTTAAACGACATGTGCAACATATTTTCTAACTGTCCAAGTTTACATAAGTCTCAAATGTATTCAGCCAATAAATTTCTTTCTATTACTGTATTTCAATCCCGTTCTTTTTTTCTCAAATTATATTGTAGTATGGATAAACTGTTCAGTGAATGCAACGGCAATGACGAATCGTTGAAATCTTTAATCTTGACTGAGTTAAAACAGAAGAACACTTGTTTATTTAGTCCATTGAGTTGTTTCACTTGGTTAAGTCTTTATGAAGTATTATTTATTGGTGCAGATGGTCTACTATTAGGTTATTTGAATATGAAAAGTCTATATGCCGGTGATGATCATTCCAATGGTAGTGTAAACGGACGGTAGGTTTAGATAGTTTCAACATGGTTTTTTTATATATTTTTGCGTACAATACAACTACAGGTTTGCATTACTCGTGTTGGTTATGTTTAAGGAGTCCTTGTTGACATCCAGTTGACAAATCCTATATAGGACGAAACAACCGTCCTAAATTCCACTGTTAGCCTTAATTCAAACATTATAAAATAATTGTTTATTAAATATTTTATGAATCCACATCCTCGTGATTATTATTATCTCTGTTTGTAATGTGATCCCAGTAGTGTTTCGAAGATCAAACGTTAACCATTCGTTTTTATTTCGGAGCGAATAACAATGAAGATTTGAGCAGAATAACATCAGTTCATTTTCTTTCGTTAACCTCTCATCAACTGCTCACAGCCCATAGTGTTTTAAAATCAGAATTATGCATAAAAGTCAAAATACTTATAGAAGTTAGGTAGGTTGGTTAGAAATGAATATATATCATCATGGTGGAGTAACGGTTCAAATAAAGTCAATACAAGTAAAAACACATTTAAAATATATGTGATGTCTAAGAGGGAATATCCTGTAACATCAAGAGTAGTAGTAACTAAAAAACACCATAGATCGTCAATAAGGAGTTGTGATGATTGTTGAATTTCATTGAAATCATGAACTGATCTAAGTTAGACAACCTTTGAAATCCTGGAAGCACTGGACGGCCGCGCAGTGTCGTGGATTGGTTGGAGCTAGACATTCACACCATTGAATCTCGACTCAGTTGTCTAGAGGTTATGTGTTCGCACTTGAGACCGTTGTTTGGTTCGATTCCTGCATGCGGAGTCGTGGATGAGCGCTGCTTAGGAGTCCCATACTACGATAAGACGGTCGTCCAGTGCTTTCAGATTTCTAATGGTGGTCTAATGTGTATATATATGCGGTATGCTGTAATTGGATTACTATTCTCTTCATCCCTCAGCTGGTTACTCAGAGCATCTTCATCTGCTCAAGAATTTAAAACACTCATGGAAAGAAACAACAGTAAATTTGCCAGAATGACTACTATTTGTTGTACGATTGATGGACGTGTTTGTGTGCAAATGTCCAATGGTACTGTTTACATTTATCCTGTTCAAGATATACTAAGTAGGTTTAAAACTTTCCTTTTTGTCAGATACTCAAATTATTTGAAAATAAAAGTTTTGGAAAATAATTTCAAAATTTATTGTAATGAAACATTTTTGTCTTTCGTTACGAACTAATGTTCTCATTTTGTGAACCTTTGAAAATCAGCCAAACCATGAAGTGTTAAGTCGTTATCGTTATGGTTGTTCAGGATTATTGAGCAGAGTTCACGCCAAACACGTATCACTAGATCGAGTGCTTAACCTTGAACATAGTTTTGATATTTTCATTACATAAGTATCACAAATTATTTTTTGTTTCAACAATGTATCTGTGGTAGTTTTAGAAGATTTAATGTGATTCCAGAGTTGGTCTATTGCGTAGTTCGATGCGACTAACTCTTGTCTTTTTTTTTACTTAGATTTATTATAAATCAGTGACCTAGTACACGGTGATGTAGAATTAACTCTTTGCCATAAATTTTCATAAATAAGTGAGAGCTACTTAACACTACATGACTGATTGATCTTCTATTGTTTCAAACGCTCTGAATTACCGCTTCCTTCATAATTGCTGCCACTACTGAATAACTGAATTACTGCTAGGTTTCTCCTAGCTGATTGTAAAAAAATTTGTTCACATTAAATAAGTTCTTTGGAAACTATTGACTCATGACAAGTGTAGACTACCTCTTTGAAGTCCGCATGATTATCGTAATCGATGGTTAGAGAGTTTGAATGACATGGCTTAGAATCGTTTGTAATGACTCAGGTGCATCTGTTCTTTATCTTTCCCTAAAGTGTAAGCTTCTGAATTATCCATAACTTTTCGTGTTTTTATTTCACTGATTTATATTTTTTGGAATTGTATTTTCGATGCCTAAACTTTCTACTACCATTGATACTGTTGCTACCTCCAATACTTTGGGATTTGGCCTAACAATTTATTCTCTCTGTACTAATGGGGTGTGAAAACGTGGACCAATGTACATATGTTCCAGGTTCTACATTGCAACTGACTGACTGATATATGAGAATAATGCAGATATATATGTGATATTCATCTGAACATGAGAGCTTCACCCGCAAAAAAGATAAGACTGTTCTGTATATACCGTTTCAAATACTTAACTAACCGATTTCATTATAAGTTGAGATGGATGGTAGCTAACAGCGGAATCCAGAATGCGCGTTTCTTCCCATTTTGGGACCAGTCGACTGGATGTACCTCCATCTGACGTACCGTGTATGTATGTGCCATTCATCTCTGCTTCAAATCCTTGTGAACTAATGTCTATATCGTAGCAATCCGCATATGATGCACATATACCACATGATACTGATCAATCACAGAAGATTCATATAATTAGTACAAATGAACTAACAGATTTCATTGCTAATATTACGTCTGCCGGCTCAAGTTTCTGATTTACAATTTTTCCGACTGCACATTTATTACCATGACTGCTCATGTTTTAATTGATTATATCTGATAGCAGCGTATACTCATACGCTTTCTGTTATAATTTCTTTTATTACGACCTAGCTACTCCTATTGCTTAGTAATCTTGGACACTGCTTCACTCGACAAGTCCCCAAATCAGGACACAGTTTACGAGGGACGTAATTATATTCCGAATAGAAAGTTTGGATGGAAGTAGGGATCACAATGAGAGAAACGTCATTATATTTATAGTTTTTACATAAGAAGATTCTAGAGTTTTCTCCAAGTGTCCACTAGCGCTGATAGGATAAGAAATAGCCAATCAGTGTGTCACAACATAATCTTGTATGGAACGTGCTTTAATCCAATCTATGTCTCTCTAACACTTTCACAAAATGTTTGCAACCTATTACGAATCTTATTTCTAATAAACTTAGGTATTACCACAGCAGGGCTCCGTTTATTTTCCTCATCCGCTTTTTCTTGAATAAACTGGTTCCGATTACCATAATATTAATGCATCAAATATATTCGCTGAAAAAAATGGATGTTATTAATATTATTTTTATTATTACTAATGGTTTTATTGAACATTATATTTTTGATAAAATAGAGAATTCTCAGCACAAAGTATTTCAACAAGTTTCCGTTTCTTATTTTTTGATCGATCCTGAAGATAAATATCGAGTGATCACCAATTAGATGTAAGCAGTTCATGAATCGACATCTGAATAATGTTCATTCTTTTCCATTCATATTGCTAGCCACCACAATGTCGATTATTGTACTTTTTCGTAACCTGCACAGCGAAAGATCGTAAACGCGCCTGAATAGGTTATGCGATTAATAGACGTAATGATGTGTTAAAACAAACAAAAACTGATAACTTTTTGAAATATTTAGATGTCAGGAACAGGTAGCTCATATGTTCAAGCAAGCCGCCTTAAATATGATCGATCGTAAACATTTACTAATGTATGCCAGCTAGTCATTGTTTGACAACTTTCTACGCATATTTTTTGAATATTCACAAGTGAAATGTTTGTCAAACGGGAACGTTGTTTCAAGTTTGCATATTTTTGGTTGAAAATTCTCTATTTATGCTATCAAATACTATTCTTATTATTAATAAAGTAAACTATTAATGGTTCTTCGTCAATAATTATGTTGGCTATATTTTGTTGTGGTATGTGTTTGAGCAGATGATTTTCCAAAATACTTTCACCTATGAATCTAAACTTTTCAAACACAAAGCAGTAGAAGCCTCGTGTCTTTCTACCGTTATTTCAGAATTAGGATTTTTATGAGCCTCCTCCGGCCCCCGAATTAACTTTTTAATATTCAATAACTTATTTTAATCTTTGTATATCAACATTCATCATCTGAATTTAGTAAAATCAATTCTTCCACGTAAAAAAGCACTAAGTAAAAGGGCGACCAAACCAAAATGTGACATCAGTGCTTGAAGTCACTAACTTCTAGTCTGAGCCATATCGGTAGATGCAGACTACTTGGTTGGGGCCCGTGCGACTATCATAACCAATGGTTGGAGACTGTGTGACCTGACTTAGAATCGATCACAAAGGTGTAGGTGTATACACCCTTTGTTTTCCCTTAAACCGTAGGATTAAAATTACTTTATACCTTTCTATCAACGAACTAATTCTTTCTCCCTATACTATATCCTTATATGCAATCTTTCTTTTATATATTGCTACCACTGAAGTAACTACTTCTATGATTTCGGTATTTATCTTGTTGTGCTAATGAGATATGTCAACTTGAACCGATGCATATTCGCGCCTAGTCCTATGTTGTAGATGACTCAAGTAACTCCATCATTTTATATTTAGGGACTAGAGATGATTTGGGTATGTATCCACCAACTTATATATTCATCTAATTATTATTTATCAAAGGAGTTAAGTCATTTTCAACAAAATTGATGAAAATATGGAATTAAAAATCTATTTTAAAGAAATAACATATTGAAATATTAACAAAAAGGTTTTATATATAGTTGAAATCATGAGTCAGTTGAAGCTAGACCACCATGGAAAACCTGGAAGCACTGGGCGGCCATTTCGTTCTATTGTGGGACTCTTCAGGTTTTATGATATATTTCCCATTATGAATCCATCTTTTTCTGTATATACGAATGTTTGGTCAATATTATAATGAATAGTTTGATAAAAATCTTTATTTTAATTAATCACCCTGAAGAAGTCCTGATAAGTTTGCTAGACGAAACGTCAGAATTACTTGAATTGCTATTGCTGTGATTATTTTAAGTACGATTTCCATATATAATAGTATCTTTATCTGTGTTGTAAAGTTCTTACTGAAAAAACTAATCAAATTACTGTGTTTATGTGTGTGTGTGTGTAAGTATTGACTCTACACAATATTATACCTTAAATTCATTTCAGATAATAATTACTGTCATGAAATTCTCCAAATCAATGAATTCACCATTGATAATTTACATTCTTATAATCCATTAAATTGTATCATACAATTTCCATCTTATTGTGATCAATTATTATGTATACCAATATATAATGAATACAATTATAACCCTATCCAATCTTATTCGGCTTTAATTTTACTTGGTTTTAATAAATCAACCCATTGTTTATATGCGGCTGTTTTACCAAAAAACAATACTGGGCATTTTCAACAAAATAATATCATTGCATTGAATATCACGAATTCATGCTCTTCATTAATTGGATTATCAGAATTTTTAATTGTAACTAATGTAAACAAATTATTAATATGTGTATCATTATTATTTAATTCATCACAAATTAATGATCCAAATAGTCTTTTAAAAGGTAATATATTTCATGTTTTTTTTTAATTGTATGCATATTTTTAAGGAATCCTACATTAGCTATCCGGTACTTTCTAGTTTTCAATGCTTCCCTATTTATAGTCAGTCCATACTTTATTTATTTTATTTAAAAACATAAATATTGGTACAAACGGGTACCAGATAGATATGCGCCCCACAAATCATTTTAGATTTGTGTGAGGGCTGTGATACTGCTCAGGTGCCCAAACTGAAGCAGGTAGTTTTTTTAGGGGGCCACACCCGGAGCCTTTGACCTAAAGGTCTAACCCACAAGGTAGTAGAGCATCGTGAGGCAATGCATTCCCGTGGTAGCCGGTGACCAACAATTGGTTCATACGCCATTCGTTCCCTCAGGATACTGTAGCCTATGCGCACCATTGGCTTGGAATGAGGGTTTTCCAACTCCCCTAGGTGGACTTTCCGTGTCGAGCATTCGCTTTACGTCCTCTCAATTTCGTAAATAACAACCACGCCACGAGAAGGCAGTGAGTAGGACTTCCCTGGCAGAGGCTGTATACGCATGGTCACGTGAGAGTATTTCGAGAGGGAGAGCGGACTCTCCTCACTCCCTGCCATACCAGGGCATTTGGGGGCCATAATGTAAACGACGAAATTTAACAGTCTCCACAAACCCCCCATACTAATAATTTCTGGTATTTTAGTTACTGATGAAATGTAAATGATTATATAAGAATGATTACCTTCTTATTGCACAAAAAGAAGGCTTTCGAACTTATAAGCATGAAGCATTAACTACTGGTCGATAGATGATAGGTATTCGTTACACCGATCCAAGTTCCAGTATATACCTTACATCAGAACGCCGAGAAAGGTGTTCAACAAGATAAGAAGCATAGAGGATGCGAATTAATATCAAAAAGTTATAATCCAAAAATGAGAAATACAGTTCAAATGCAACGAGTGCAATTGGAAAATGAAAATTTAAAAGTCCATCAGTAACTTATGCAGCTGAGCCACGATGATCAAGTTTAAACGACGTCACTCAACGTCTGCAACCAATAATTATGGCTATCGATGTGATAATCTACCGTCTGATTTAACGACTATGTACATTCTCGAAATCTAACCAACCCAACTATTCAGAAGGAGTAAAAAGAGACTGCATAGATAATCCCTATTACTCGGAAAGTCAAACTAAGACATACTTAGAAGTAGATAACTGATGTGCCCTCCACTTGAGTTCCCACATTTGAACTGAATCCAAGAAACCAAACCGACCTATTTTCTTTCAGGAGGAAAATGTAATATAGTAAGCCAATCGGAGATCGTCCAAACGATAAGGTTATCTATGGATTTGGTTTAACTATAAAATGCGTCCTCCTTACACTTAAGCTGATTGGGCTTGTTTATGGAGAGTTTATGTATTAGCACCAGATCCTGATAATGCACAACACGGCAATATCTATCTTTTTTCCTGTACTATATCCCTATATACAACCTTTCTTATATAATTTACCATCACTAAATTAACTACTTCTATGAATTCGGTGTTCATCTTGTTGTGATAACGAGGTATGGCAACTTGAACCAATGCATATGTGTGGTCCTAAGTTGTAGCTGACTGACTGACTGACAACACGGCAATAATTTAACCCAGATGTTTTCAGTGAATTTGTCTGGATAGTTAATTCTTTTATTTACAATATCTTACATGCATTCACATTTTATTACCAAATAAATTTGAGTTATCGTAGGTTTTGTCTTGTTTTGCTTTGTGAATTCAAGCATCAAATTCAAATCAAGACTTCTTAACCTACTTACTTACTTACTTACGCCTGTTACTCCCAAAGGAGCGTAGGCCGCCGACCAGCATTCTCCAACCCACTCTGTCCTGGGCCTTCTTTTCTAGTTCTATCCAGTTCTTGTTCATTCTTCTCATGTTTGTTTCTATTTCTCGGCGTGATGTGTTCTTTGGTATTCCTCTTCTCCTTTGACCTTCAGGATTCCATGTGAGGGCTTGTCTTGTGACGCAATCGGGTGATTTCCTCAAAGTGTGCCCTATCCACTTCCAGCGCCTCCTCCTGATTTCTTCCTCCGCTGGAATCTGATTTGTTGTCTCCCACAGTAACTTGTTGCTGATAGTGTCTGGCCATCGGATCCGAAGTATCTTGCGTAGACAGCTGTTAATAAACACTTGTATCTTCTGGATAATGGCTTTCGTAGTTCTCCACGTCTCCGCCCCATGCAGAAGAACTGTCTTCACATTTGTATTGAAAATTCTAACCTTGGTGTTGGTTGACAATTGTTTTGAGTTCCAGATGCTTTTCAGTCGTAGGTATGCTGCTCTTGCTTTGCCGATACTCGCCCTCACATCCGCATCTGATCCACCGTGTTCATCAATGATGCTGCCCAGATATGTAAAGGTTTCCACATCCTCCATCAAGTGTAATTTGATTGGTGCATATTGTATTGTATCGGAGAGTCTTGCTTTTCTCTTTGTTTACATTGAGACCTACTGTTGTTGAGGCTGCTGCTACACTGGTCGTTTTCTCCTGCATTTGTTGTTGCGTTTGTGATAGAAGAGCCAGATCATCCGCGAAGTCTAGATCGTCAAGTTGCATCCTGCCTGTCCACTGTATCCCGTGATTTCCTCCAAATGTTGACGTCTTCATAATCCAGTCGATTACCAGGAGAAAGAGAAAGGGTGAGAGTAAGCAACCTTGTCTAACACCGGTCTTTACTTCAAACGAGTCGGTGAGTTGTCCTCCGTGGACGATTTGGCAGTTTAGTTCATCATAGGAGTTCCGTATGATATTGACTATCTTCTCAGGCACGCCGTAGTGTCGAAGAATCCTCCATTGTGTCGTCCTGTCCACGCTATCAAATGCCTTCTCGTAGTCGATGAAGTTGATGTAGAGTGATGAATTCCATTCGATTGATTGTTCCACAATGATACGTAGAGTTGCGATTTGATCTGTGCACGATCTATCCTTACGAAATCCAGCTTGTTGATCTCGAAGTTGGGCGTCCACGGAATCCTTCATCGTGTTTAACAATACTCTGTTGAAGACTTTTCCTGGTATTGAGAGAAGAGTGATGCCCCTGTAGTTTTCGCACTTGCTGAGATCGCCTTTCTTTGGTATCTTGATCAGAAGTCCTTTTTTCCAGTCTATTGGTACTTGTTCTTCGTCCCAAATCTTACTGAAGAGGATGTGGAGTATCTTGGCAGATGCTGCTACATTTGCTTTCAGTGCCTCTGCCGGGATGTTGTCTGGTCCCACTGCTTTGCCGCTCTTGATTTGTCTAATGGCCATGCTGATCTCTTCAATTGTTGGTGGGCCAATATCGATTGGGAGGTCTGTGGGTGCTGCTTCGATGTTGGGTGGGTTCAGTTTGGCTGGTCTATTCTTTAGTTCTTTGAATTGTTCTACCCACCTGTTTCGTTGTTCTTCAATGTTGGTGATTACTTTGCCTTCCTTGCTTTTCACTGGTCTTTCTGGTTTACGGTAATTTCCAGCAAGTTTCTTTGTTGTCATACAGTTGTCTCATGTTTCCCTCTCTTGCAGCCTTTTCCGCTGTCATCGCTAAATCTTCCACATATTTACGCTTGTCGGTTCTGATGCTCCTATTCACCTGCTTGTTTGCCTCTGTGTATTCGGCTTGTGCCTTGGCTTTTTCCGCTCTTGTTCGGCTGATATTGATTGCTGCCTTCTTGTTCCTTCTTTCTTCAATTTTATCCAGTGTACCAACAGTGATCCATTCCTTGTGATGGTGCTTCTTTTGGCCCAGAACCTCCTGACATGTTGAAACGATTGCCTCCTTGATACCTTTCCAGTTACTCTCCATGGTAGTACCCTATCCATTGAGTAGATCATGAAAGGCCTGGAACCTGTTGCTGAGGGCTATGTTGAATTTGTTGAGTTTGTCAGCATCTCGAAGAAAGGCCGTATTAAACTTTTGTGATGTTGTCCGCCCCGTTGTCCAGTGCTTCTTGAGTTTTAGTTTCATCTCGGCGACCAGCAAATGATGATCGAATGCTATATCAGCTCCTCTTCTGGTTCTCACATCCTCCATCGTCCTCCTGAACTTTTTGTTGATGCAGATGTGGTCGATTTGATTCTATGTAGTGTGATCCGGTGAAATCCAAGTGGCTTTGTGTATGTTTTTGTGTGGAAATATGGTGCCACCTATGACCAGTTTATTGAAGGCACATAGGTTTGCAAATCTCTCACCATTTTCGTTCCTTTCTCCCAGTCCATGTTGTCCCATGACGCCTTCGTATCCACTGTTGTCCTTTCCAACCTTAGCATTGAGATCTCCCATCAGAATGGTCAGGTCCTTGGTTAGACACTTCTCGAAGATCGACTGCAGCCTATTGTAGAATTGGTCTTTAGCGTCTTCATCGTAGTCGTTGGTCGGCGCATAGCATTGGATGACGTTCATTGTAACGCCCTCTCTCTTTGTTTTGAAGGAGGCTTTGATGATCCTTGGTCCATGAGATTCCCATCCAATAAGTGCATTTTGTGCTTTTCTGGACAGCATCAATGCAACTCCTTGTGTATGTGGGGCATTTTCTTCTTCATGACCGGAGTATAACAGAAGTTCTCCTGAAGACAGTCGTTGTTGTCCAACCTGCGTCCAATGCGTTTCACTGATTCCAAGCACCTCCAGGTTGTATTTTCTCATTTCCGCAGCAATTTGGAAGACTCTTCCGGTCTCCCACATTGTCCGGACATTCCATGTACCTATAAAAATTGTTGCTCTGGTTGTAAGAAGGTGCATCGGCCTCATGACTTCCGAATGAACTCGGCTTTCATCATGAGACGTCATAATTATTCCTTCTACTCCCAGGGCAGAGTTTAAATGGTTTGAATAATTTTTTCTGGTTAGCGTTTTGTTTAACGAGTTGATTTTCTACGGGATGGAGTCGCTAACCCCATGCCCAACCCTCCTCCTTTACCCGGGCTTGGGACTGGCGGTAACCCCCAGAGGAGCTATAGGCGGAGTTTCTCAACCTACTGGCACAGCTTAATTCCACGTCATCATTGTTGTATCCAACCGAAATAATTGATATCACATCCTAGTGTAAGTGTTCGCACACAGAGACTCGAATTCACTTCCTCTCGCTTCAAACTGTTGATGAACCACTGACTTGTTCAAGTGGTTTGCATTTTAAGCTTATATTGTTTAATTGTTGATGTATATCCAGGATTGAATTTTGATCAGTGAAGGTAGGCAAAGTTCTTTCCTTTGCAAAAATTTTCATTAAACTCAAATCCTTAATGACTGTTTGAAATATTTCATTTTTTGGTCCTTTTTTCTTTTTTTCCCCCCACTATTTCAACATAGAATTACTTTCACGATTGAATATTCCATCAGAATTAGACACCAGCACACGTAAACCACCGCGTAACTGGTATAATGATAATTTACATCCAATTGAGTCTGGTGCAATCATTGTAACAGCTACACCAAGTGATACCAAAGTCATACTACAAATGCCACGTGGGAATTTGGAGGAAATCCATCCTCGTGCTCTTGTACTGGCACATTTATCCAAATTACTTAATAAGTTAGGTTATTATTATTATTATTATTATTATTATTATTATTATAAATATATAATTTATTTATAACAATCTACCCAATGCTCAATTTATTCAAAATTATCAAATCAAGACTTGGTAATGATACCTATTATTATTATTGTTATTATAAAAAGGGTTTGAGTTATTTCATTGATGACATCAAGGATTTATGATACTTACTACCGTAAAAATTACTCTTGCTTCTACACTCATTCAGACAAGTCATATTTACAATCATTTGATAACATTCGTTTTTATTTCAAATGCTACCAACGAATACGAATACTGAAGCAGTCTTCCTGAAACCACATACACCATTCAAACTGGCCTCCTTCAACGTCCTCACACTAATGCAGATAGGACAACAGATTGGGTTATATGTATGTTCAGAAAGTCTCAACATCGATATGCGTTTTCTATCCGAGACTCGTTTTCAAAACTCTAGTGCAGTACTACAAATTCGTTGTCCATATGTGGCTTCGAAAAGCTTGTTTCCCGTGGATTTATCCGAGGACCATGTCACTTCTTCGTCTGGTTTTAATGGCGTTGTTGTCTCACTAAGCGCTAGAGCTGCAGCAGCATTGGTTGATTTGATCCTCATCAACAGTCGTTTATTTGCTGTTAGATTAAAAAGTTACATCAGAGTTTGAAGAAATCGGTATGAGAAACAACTTGTTTTAGTCATTTCGGCCTACACCCTGACAGATTGCAGCCCGGATGCGATGATGGATGATTTTTACCACCAGTTAAGTGTTGTTCTACAAAACGTCCGTCCGTTAGATAGTGTAGTACTAGCCGGAGACTTGAATGGTCATTGTTGGGCGTCTAGGCACAGAGCAGAGTGGTTGAGGTGTCTGATGGGACATGTTGGTCGCACGTCAGATAACGATGACCGTCTACTGGTACTTTGGGCAGACTAAAACCTGTTTCTGTCTAGCACTAACTATTGTCACAATCATCGAGGATGTGTTATCTGATGTCCTCCCTCTGTATCTCAAGCCTGAACTCAGATTAATCATATCGTGATCATCTATCACTGGTGTGGTTGTGTACAAGACTGCTGTTCCTTTTGGAGTACCTATCTGAACTCTGGTGATGCTCTTATTTGCTCCAATCTCACGCTCCCGTGGCCAACAAATTCATCATCCTAAACGGATCGATGTCAGCGAATTGGTTACAGCTTCTGTTGAAACTAAATATCAAAGTGAGCTAGATTCAAGTCTGAATAGCTACCAGTCTACTGAAAAGTATAGATGAAGATTGGTCGCAGTTTCATGACGCCATGAAAATAGCGAGTAGAATCGCTTGCGGCTTCGCAAAACGTGCAACTTATAGTCACTGGGTATTTACAGGTTACTTATGACTCATTGAGGCACGTCAGTTTACTCCGAGTGACCGTGAGTTTGACCATAAACGAACGATTGTTACGCAATGAAATCGTGCAAAACTTGTGTAAAGACCGAGGAGCCTGATTATCGCAGCGTGCTAACGAGTTGGAAGCAGCAGCTGCTTGTAGTGACTACTGGATATTCTTCAGCTCATCCGAATCACTGTCAGAAAGAAGTCTTGTGTGAGTGAAACAATCTGTGAGGCTGACAAGATGACAGTCAGTAACATCTTTTGATGTCTTGGACGATGGTTAAAGTTTCTCGAGGAGTAGTTCAATTTGTCCTCTGCCCCCAGCAACATCGATCAGACTATCCTACCCTCTATGGCCCGTGACGACTGATCAACCTAACGAGATGAATGTTCGCAAGGAACTCCAACTCTTGAATCTCCACAAATCACCATGCCCAAGTGACTTACCTGTGGTCGTTTTTAAAGATGACGGAAAATTTCTGGTTAAGGAATTGACTGAGTTGTTTACAAATGTCTGGCAGTTAGAGAGTGTTCCGACATCATGGAATGAGTCAATGGTTATCCCTATGTTTAAGAATGGTTCACACTATTTCTGCAACCATTATCGTGATATAAATCTACTTTCGAATGCGTCCAAGCTATTGGCTTCCGTCATACTTCGTAGACTGTTCAAAACCTAAGATAGATTGACTTGCGAGGAGCATGCTGGTTTTCGTTCTGGTCGAGGATGTATTGATGAAATGTTCGACGTCCGCCAAATGTTAGAACACCGTAATACTTACCACAAACCAACAACCATAGTTTTGGCCACCTCTGATTTGTTGGACAGGACTATCCTCTGGGATTTTCTATTGAAGAAGGGTGTGCCTGAGAAGTTTCACATCTTAAAAGTTTTATATACATACACCACAGATAGAGCGATGGCATGCGACCATCTCTCTCCATTGTTCCGTTAAAGCAGTGGGGTTAGGTAGGGTTGTCCAATTCATCAATTCTAGTTATTCAATCTAATGTTGTTTCAATGATTTTTGCCCCTCTTTTTTGAGGATTGTTTATTCTTCATGATTTGTTTCTTTATGTATCATTTCATCGTGTATATCAATACTCTTATGTTTTATTTTTTTAAAAATAATTTTTATCAAAGTAAACAATATGAACAAGCTGTTCAAATGATGCGTCGTCATCGGATCAATTTCAATCTTTTACATGATTATAATCCTAATTTATTTCTATCAAATATCAAACAATTTTTACAATCAATTGACGATCCTGACTTGATCACATTATTTATATCTGATCTTGTGTAAGTCAAATTATATCTGTCTATTTATTTATTCATTACATATACTTAATAATAGTTCTGAACGAATACTGCCGTGTTAGTTTAAGTACTCAACGTTCAATAGAAAGATTATAAATTTAAGTCCTGTTTTATACCCTGTTTAGATAGCAAGATATCATCACCATCGGTTCTCATGCAAACAGTGCTGTTCATACGGATGTTTACATGAATTTTTACTTATTGACTGAGTTGGTTTAATTGTGAAAGCAAAATGCGCACATAATCTAGTGTATTTGATCAGATGGAAAGAATAAGTCAATTGATAATTCTGTCAATTTTCATCCAACCGCTTCCTCCTACATGTGGACTGTCTATCATAGTAGTATGTGGATTAAAAGATCGAAGAAAGATACGCCTTTCAAGCTTTATGATAGTTTTTTTCTATATATATACACACACACAAACAGATATTATCATCATAAAGCCTGGAACAGGTGTTCATTAGCTGAAGTTGCCATACTCCACTAGTTTGATGAGATGAATATAACAAAAGAGATTAAAATAATGTATAGAAAAGACTAAACTTTGTTAATATGATTTGAAAGAGCAGAATGAAAACGTACATACTTAGGGATACTGGAATTTAAGATCGAGAGGAAAATTAGGAATTGATGTAACCTACCCTATTATGAAAGATTCCGAGCGATTTCACCCAATGTCTTCAACTACTACTCGTGATTATCACACGGATGTCAACCAGTTAATGTTCACCTAACCTACATGGCTCAGACCAACAGTCATTAACTTCATGGACTAATGCTATGCTTTAGTTTGGCCTCCCTTAGCTTTATTTTAACTTCTGCATTAGCAAGCATCACTCGTTGAGGTAGACGGTGGTTGGTCATAACGCACTCTCAAACTACCTAGGCTGATAAAGATTCACTACCTTATCAACCGATTTGCCATCTTTACTTTGTAACCTATGCCTAATGTCAACATTGTCACATATATACAAGTAATAATTTCAATTATTTGATTTCCCATCTGACGATCAGTGTCCTAGTCTAAAACTACCATTCATTTAATGTTTCTCCCCCATCGTATTTTTCATTTTTATTATTTCTGTCTTATTTTCTATCGAAAATTTTAGTGAAGAAGATGTAACAGAAACAATTTATCATAAATTTTATTCTAAATCTTCCGAACGTCACCGATCAACTCTAGCAACATCTAAACTTGACCGAATAACTGATATTCTTATTGATGAAATGGAGAAATATAATCCAACCAAGTAAGCATTTAAAAGTCCTTTCGAATAAAAACAAGTTAATTTGTAGGTGTGTATGGTAATTTGAACTGATGCAATCTCTCTTTACTACCATTGAAGTAACTGCTTCTATGGATTTGGTGTTCCGCTTGTTGTGTTAATGAGGTATGACAACTTGGACCGATGCATATATGTGCCTGGTCCTACTTTGTAGCTGACTGATTGAGGTTTATGTGTGTGTATGCATGTACATGTGTTTAAAATTGCATGCCAATCTACACTTGAAACCCCGAACAAGTGACTAAAATTAAAAAGTACTCCTAAGGTTAATTTAAGTGCGGAGGATAAAGATACTTATAAGTCCATTTGTGGCATCGATATTCCAAGAGGTTTTGGAAAAATGCTAATATTCGTGACAATATATAATTATCCAGACATGTAGCACATTGTTTTTTTCAGAACTTTTTGGGATGTTTCTATAAAACTACTGATTAAGCGACATATTTTCAATTTTCTATCAGCTTCTGAAAACTTCTCCAAGAGAATTGTTCAAGGCTTTCAACACTTTATTATACCTTGATGTTATAAACCTACTTTTACCGTCAATACTTTCTTTCTGTCATTAACCACTCTCTTTTATACCTTCTCTTTCAATATAGATTAATTGTGCCAATAATAACTTGTTATGCGAAAAAAGTCCCACCAAACTATGAAGCTGGCTTGTTAAGATTAAAACTTTTACACGGTAAGCCAAGTATAGAATTATAATATATACGTATTGTATTTTTGTATTCTTAAAAACATTGTTTACGGAGTTGATTAGTCAGTAAATATGCTTTCTGGTGCTCATTGTACACGGTGGGTTGTAGTAGTGGTGGTTATTTTGATCTATGGTGTAAATAGTTGTTACAGTAGTTTGTTGATATTGTCAATTGATATTAATCAGTTACACCGAATACTTCGTTTCTACTCTATGTTGTTCGTCCCTTCTTAAATGGTTAAAAAAACTTTTTCTCATAAAATTTTCATATTTTTTAAAAATCAGATTCATGTTTATTCTTTTTCGCCGAAAATCCACTGGTATAAGTAGAAAAAAAACACTGTGTTGTTTATTCGTTTATCGGTGTTCGTAAAAAAACAGTAATTGTTGTAACCAACCTATCCAATGTAATGTTCTTAGTGAATACTGTCATCTGCCCTTTAAATTATGTTGTCCGGTAAAGACAGCAGAAACTTTACAAAATTAATTGATTTAAATTTCCAATCAATTAATAGCTGAACCCCTCTTTCACTTATTCCGGTTCATGCTAATCGATTCATCATTTCATTTATTTGCTAATGGATGTCAGTGTATGACATGGTGTCGTGGCATGAAAGAAAGCTGCAAAGGGCTAGCTTCTGTTGGTCCTTCACGACTCCCTGGCTGGGGTCCGAGAGATGGTGCAACACAGTGGCTAGATACGTTATCAGATATGGCTCAGAATAGAAGCCAGTGGCGATCCTGCTGCAACCTTTTTTTACTTTCTACATAAAGAATGGTTCTAACTTTCTTAACTGAAAGAGTCTTCTGGTTGTACATTTCAGTCCGCCTTATCTTTTCATCCCTTCTCTTCCTACTTTCATTATTTTGTGTGGCGCATATGTACCTGGTGCCCTTTTGTACCAATATATATGTGTTAAATAAATAAATAAATGCTAATGGATACTATCGTTACCCGTCAGCACATACTTGAAGAATGTGTCTAAAAGCCTGAATACATACACCTTTACTTGGTAGTTGTGTTACATAACAACACTTTTAAATTCATTTCCTTCAGGATTGCAAATTTTCCCCATCCTTTTCGAATAATTAATACTATTATTTAATTATTTCTCAGTCCCTGTTTATCACAGTCATCTTCCAGTTTGTTAGCTCGGGTTGGATTCCCGACGTTTACACACAGTTCAACTGAACAGTGTCGAATAGCGTCCTACTTTCAGCTACTAAATCTCATCTGTAAACCTCTCTTCACCTAGTTCAGTTACACCAGCTGAATTGTAACATTAGGCCTAACAATTAGATTGTATCTCAAAACCATATATATACCCAGTAAGTTCCCAGTTTTCGGATCAACGAATCAATCATGAAAATATGGATTCATGAATAACACCAATATGGCAAACTACAACAATATTGATATGAATTATAATTCATTATCATTGAAATAATTATATCATGTATATTAATTCATTGCTTTCTTTTACTTCTTCAAATCAGCCAACTAATCTATGAGTTACAATCGTTTTATAATCTCTTACTTAATCTCATATATCAATAAAATAATTTAGCACTGATGATTGCTCAACTTGTTCCCTCTCTTCCTCCAGTCCCCACCCCTTCCCCTTATATCCATTAATTTCATACCAATAAGATTCAGTATTGGAAATGAGATCAAATTTAGTTTTATTCTAATCGATAAACACATATATGTATCTATCTATTTTTAGATATATGCATTATATTACTTTATTTAACAAAGAATACAAACGTTCTGTTTTCTTATTCAGTTTTCTTTTTAAACTAATAAAGATAAAGCAGAGATGGATAGTGACTAGCAGTGGAATCCAGGACGCGCGTTTCGTCCTATTTGGGACTCGTCAGCTGGATGTACCTGCATCTCAGAGTTGATGTTCACTCTGGGACTCGATCCAAACAAACAATACTAAGTGAATTCAAACTTCACCCCATCGCACAAGCAAGTGGCAATCAGGACTCAGTGGCCGAGTGGATAACGCGATGACGTTTGAAGCGAGGGTACAGGGTTCGAGTCCCAGAGTAAACATCAACTCTGAGATGCAGGTACATCCAGCTGACGAGTCCCAAATAGGACGAAACGCGCGTCCTGGATTCCACTGCTAGCCACTATCCATCTCTGCTTACCATGCTTGTGAATTAAGGTATATCGAGGCAATACGCACAGTATGCACATATGCCAATTAGAGACTGACCAGTTGCAGTCCTAAACACATCGATGGGAAGATCCAAACAAACAATACTAAGTGAATTCTAATAAAGATAAAGTTTTTGGGATTCGATATCTTTATCGATCAATAAAAAAATTCCGTTTTTTGAATAATATTTTTTTCTCATCTTTCCCATTCTTTGTACATGATTACTGAGATTTATTGATGTTTGATTAGTTCAGTGATTCCATAAACAGGAAGTAATTTGATATTGAGAATTAGACAAAAGTAGCTCATAATAATTTAGAGGTCAGTTTAAAATACTACTGTTTGATTCCCTAAATTAAATATTGCTCCAAGAGGAATGAATACCGTGCATGTTTTTTTAAGGATAAATATATATTGTGACTATCGGTGAAATTTAGGACTCACTTTGTCGTCCTATTTTTAACTCGTCAATTGGATATCCTGAGATCCCAATGTTGATGTTCATGTTTGGATTCGGGTTCAATACTTATGGCCCAATATGTCAATTCAATCCTGAGTATTAACGGCGGATCATCTCAAAACCTTGTTTATAATGATATAAGCATCATATCCTTTAGAAACTCTAGTGGGTACATGTATCTATTAGCTCATTGAAATTTGTGTTGGTATTTGAAGCCTTACATAATAGGTCCGAGCTTCATTGTAACTAACAACACCAATCCAAGAGGTAGGTTTGTATCTGACACTACCTCAGCACGAATTCAGGAGGCTCCTTCAAGTTTCACCAACGTGCATCACTTTTGTTGTAGGCAAGATGCCCATTTTCCAATCAAAGGACGAGTTTACTACACATTCTGTTCCGCTTTGTGGTTATGAAAGTGGTCTTTAAAAATAATGGATATTCGTAGGTTACCAATCTCTGACCCTTGGTGCCTTCGAAGTATTGCTCGTTCATGGCTGGAAGATAAGGTTAAGCGCAGGGTAATAGATAGGAATGTCAACTAGGTTGATGAGATAGTAAATCGTAATCTAATGAAGTGGTTGGGACATGCATTATTTATGATTAACCACCATCTGTCTTGATAAGTTTTGTATGCTGATGTAATAACAGGCTGGAAAAAACCTGGGAAAACCCAAACCAGTTGGGGCTCTAATTTATAAAGTTATCGACTGTTGGTAGATGCAAAATTTCAACTTTAAATTATCATGAAGAAACAAACCACGTTTTTTTGGTTAATATCCTTATACCACCACGTTTTTTACGATATTTCTCACAAACACTTAGTCTACTTACAAGTAGCGTAATGCTTTTATGTAAATATTCGCGAATCAAGCTAAATTATACTGTCGATTTCAAGACATTAAAGCCAATTTTGAGTAAATCTCAAGGAATTTTAAAAAAAAATATTTGTAGTACAAAGCAAAAATATCACAAATTATATTTAATGTCCACGTCATTACTGGATTTTTTCATGTTCAAAATTGACTTTTATGTTTTGAAACCAAAGGATTTTTGGAAGAAAAATTTATCCTTGTCGCTACAGATTTCTTTCCCTCTGTAATCTTTCAGCGCTCAAACAATTTTTCGAAGTTTTCTACCATTCCCAACATCAATGGAATTTAATATGTTTCTGTTGGATAACGATTTCATGTGGATATTTTATTCTTTCATCATACATGTGGTCTCTTCAGTCATCAGTTTACATGGTGCTGCATGACGGAACATACTTTCTGATTAAAGGGATAGAGTTATGCGGCTTCGGGTTTTTCACCTCCTGAAAATGTCGCCTTCATATATCTCTATTCCAAATCTCAAAGATTCATTTTAGTTACAAAAAGACTTCTTACGCAGTTCACTTTTAATTTGCTTCCTATGTTATATTCCTGTTTTAGAGATTGTCGATTATAGTGTCCTCTCTAAAATTGCTCATCAATCTGTCCTTAGTAAGTATTCTGTCAGTAACTGGTGAGACTTAAATTTTAGCTTGGGTGTGACACTGTGGCACCTACTTCCACACTGATTGACTTGGAGATTTAATTTTATGATTAGATCCCCAAAACATCAACAATCCCGAAAATCTAAACAGTATCAATTTATATCTTCACCAAGCCCAAAATTCGAATAAGACTTATAATTTCACTACATGGCTGATAAATTCATTGTGCAAACCAGTCCACTTGCTGTTGTTAACGGTATTTGTTATGTAGATAGTTTATGGGCCTTGTTGTCACATTCCACAACAGATATTTAGTTGGCTTAGCAAAAAACATCAAAAAGCTGTTACATCCTCTGTCCTGCAGAATGTTGAAAACTCAGGTCATTCGACCTTAGATTCTTCTGTCATCACCTACAAATTCCAGTCAGAAATATCGGGGAGTTTCCATCACATCTCATTAACTTTATTCATAATTTGAAAACCGAGTGCATGCGTATCATGACAGTTTGTTTGACAAGTCTCTTTGCTACAACTATTTTTCCATAGCATACTCTTACATAATATCTTCTAAAAAATCTCTACTTCTTCATATGGCTAGCTTTCTGTTATGAGAAATAGATTATTTCTAACTGGAACTTGTGATTATTTTGTATTTTCGACGCTCTTCATTTCATACTGAATGATAGTTACACCCATATTTACGCTACATATTTTATTGATTTATCATTTTCTACATTTCATTGTCGTTATTTTATCGTAAATACCTACTGAATACATATTCAGATTCATATTTATGCTTTACAGACAGAAAGTTTGAGGTATTTGTTAGTCGTGTTATAATATGCTTCAGTGTCTCTCTACTCCTCTCTTAGATTAGTCAATTGGAGGTTTAGAAATAACTTTTGATAGCAAGGTTGAATACGCCATGAGAAAACCTGTATACCACAGTGATTTTATTCGTTCCTAGTGTTTAAAGATGTGCGTTATGTCCACTAAGTTTTCTTGGCTTAGTTTCAAGTAAAAGAGAGGGTATATTAAGTAACTTATGCATCGTAATTAAGTTACCTTCAAATCTGTACATTAAAAAGTCTAATCTCTCATGGATTTTTTCATAAACCCTTGGACATGTGGAGTAGTGCTTCTCTGTACTTTTTCCCGGAGATTTCATTAGCTTTTTAAACAGAAACTTACATCATACACAATTTTGTAATTCTCACCCCCCAAAAGGTCTGTCTAAACGACATTGATTAGATTTATAACTAACATGGTAAAAACTGGTTTTAATATGGATACAGTTCTAAACTCTCTATGTTCATAAACTTAGAGTGTTATACATATATTCGTACGATTGTACAGCTTTAAAAATAATCCTTCACTAAACCAATTCTTTTACAGGTACATCCCCCCACTAAGTAGTATAATTTATATAATGATTGTTATTATTACATGATGCTGTTCATCCATTTCTCTTTTTTTTAGAAAGTGGAGATATAAATACATGGAATAATGGATTACGTCACTTACAATATTTTGCTACGCCGATTGAATTGTATAAAGTTGCACTAGGTACATATGACTTAAATTTTGCCACAACAATGGCACAACGTACACAATTAGATCCAAAAGAATATTTAGCTGAATTAAACGAATTAAATTCTGTAACAAATGACTTGAAAAAATATCAATGTGATACCATGGAAGAGGCTATAGCTTATCAACAATTTAAAATTGATCATAGTTTGAAAAAATATTCAAAAGCTGTTCTACATTTGATTGATTCTGGTAAGTGGTAAGGTTTATTTTTCTTAAGTGAAACTATATTCGGTCCACCATTAAGACATTTCACTCGTTCAATAGGTTCATACTATGTTTGTTTCCTCAGGATACTGGAGCCCATATGTACGATTGGTTTGGAATAAGTATTAAGCAACTCCTCTAGGTGGATCCTCCGTATCCACCAACCCAATTAAAGCACCGGAAATTCACTTTTCGTCCTCTCAATTTTGTAAACAACACCGCAACCGGGAGAAGGCAGTGAGTAGAATTTCTCTGACAATGACATTACACGCGAGGCTATTTGAGGACATTTTGAGAGGGAAAGCAAGCTCTCTATACCTTCGACCGTACCAGGGAATTTAGGGGCATTGAAATTCATCCACACCAGGCAACACACTAATTCTCTATCTAATCTAATGTGTTGAAGAGTATGTTTGGACAACACTGACCTGGAATGTTTAAAGGTAGACAACTGTTAATCCTTATTGTAAAAAATCTTTTAACCCAGGTATTACAAATATCCTTTTGTCTTACAACTTCTCTACTGTGAAACAAATTGTCTCTAGTTTAGTTATAGAGTCAGTCACAACGTGGAACTTCGTACGCAAGTACATTAGTTCAATTTGCCATACCACATTAGCACAGAGATGCAGTTGTCGATTCAAATCCCATAGTGGTAGAAGTACTAAGAGTATAAGCAGTAATCCGAAAGATCAGGGTTTAAAGATGTTATTCAAAGAGTATAATCCAGTGAAATAAATTTGCAAAAGAGGAAAAAGATAGAGACATGAAGAATTCAGAAGATTGGAATTTGGGAGAACACAAAGAGTGGATGCACCTTCGCCATTGCAAACGATTTTGAGCCATGTTGTAGAGAGTGATAGACAAGCGAAATACCTGTAATTATTTGCTTACCCATTGTCCGTGCTTACTTACTTACTTACGCCTGTTACTCCCAATGAAGCATAGGCCGCTGACCAGCATTTTCCAACCCACTCTGTCCCCAACCTTTCTAGTTCTATCCAGTTTTTGTTCATTTTTCTCATGTCTGTCTCTATTTCTCGGCGTAATGTGTTCTTTGGTCTCCCTCTTTTCTTTTGGTCATCAAGATTTCATGTGAAGGCTTACCCAGTGACGCAATTTGTTGCTTTTTTCATTGTGTGTCCTATCCACTTCCAGCGCTTCTTCCTGATTTCTTCCTCCGCCGAAATCTGGTTTGTTCTCTCCCACAGTAGCTTGTTACTGATAGTGTCTGGCCAACGGATCCGAAGTATCTTGCATAGACAACTGTTGAAAAACACCTGTATCTTCTGGATGATGGTTTTCGTAGTTCTCCACGTCTCCTCCCCGTACAATAGAACTGTCTTGACATTTGTATTGAAAATTCTGATGTTGGTGTTGGTTGACAATTATTTTGAGTTCCAGATGTTCTTCAGTCGTAAATATGCTGCTCTCGCTTTACCGATTTGCGTCTTCACATCTGCATCAGATGCAAAGTGTTTATCGATTATGCTGCCCATATATGTAAAGGTTTTCACATTCTCCAAAGCTTCTCCATCAAGTGTTTTTTGATTGTTGCATGCTGTATTGTACCCGAGAATCTTGCTTTTCCCTGTGTGTATATTGAGACCTACTGTTGTTGAGGCTGCTGCTACACCGTTCGTCTTCTCCTGCATACGTCACGTGTGTGATAAGAGAGCCAGATCATCTGCAAAGTCTAAATCGTCCAGCTGCATCTTAGCTGTCCATTGTATCCGGTGCTTCCCTGCAGATGTTGACATCTTCATGATCCAGTCGATCGCCAGGAGGGTGAGAGTAAGCAACCTTGCCTGACATCGGTCTTTACCTCAAATGAGTCAATGAGTTATCCTCCATGCACGACTTTGAAGTTTAATCCATCATTGAAATTCCGTACTATATTGACTATTTTCTCAGGCACGCCGTAGTGTTGAAGAATCCTCTATAGTGTTGTCCTGTCCACGCTATCAAATGCTTTCTCGTAATCAATGAAGTTGATGTGGGGTGATAAATTCCATTCATTTGATTGTTCCACAATGGTCCGTAGAATTGCGATTTGGTCTGTACACGAACGATCCTTACGGAATCCAACCTGTCGGTCTCGAAGTTGGGAGTCTACGGAGTCCCTCATTCTGTTTAACAATACCCTGTTGAACGCGTTTCCCGGTATTCAGAGAAAAGTAATGTCCCTGTAGGTATCACACTTGCTGAGATCGCCTTTCTTTGGTATTTTGATCAGAAGTCCTTCTGTCCGGTTTGTTGGTATTTGTTATTCATCCCAAATCTTACTGAAGAGGATGTGGAGTATTTTTGCAGTTGCTGCTACATCTGTTTTCAGTGCCTCTGCCGGAATGTTGTCTGGTCCTGCTGCTTTGCCGCTCTTGATTTATCTGATGGCCATGCTGATCTCTTCAATTGTTGGTGGGCCATCATTGGTTGCGAGGTCTGTGGGTGCTGCTCCGATGTCGGGTGGATGCAATGGAGCTGGTCAATTCAAGAGTTCTTTGAAGTGTTCTACCCACCTGTTTCGTTGTTCTTCAATGTTGGTGATTACCTTGCCTTCCTTGCTTTTCACTGGTCTTTCTGGTTTACGGTAATTTCCAGAGTTTCTTTGTTGTGTCATACAGTAGCAGATTCGAAGGAGTTATTAGCCATTAACACCCACCGTGGACTTTATCAGTTTAGCTGATTACCGTTTGGTGTAATGCCAGTTCCAGCGAATTTTCAACAGATAATGGATACTATGTTGTCTAACTTGGAAGGTGTAGCAGTTTACTTGGATGATATTATAGTTGTTGCTCCTTCTGCTCACGAACTAATGGGGTCGGTTAGACATGATGCTCACAAAAATATCGCAAGCTGGTTTTCGATTACAAAAAAAAAAGTGTGAATTTATGCTGGAGTCTGTTAAATACCTTGGATATATATTTGATAAAGATGGTCGCCGACCAGATCCAGATAATATAAATGCTATCAAAAATATGCCCAGACCAACTGATGTCGTGGGAGTTACCTGTTTTTAGGCCTTCACTAAGATATCACCATTGTTGACTAAATAATCAATAGATCTGTAGTCCAACGATTCGACTTTCAACTATAAAACCCTATGTTCGAAGACGGTTCAATTTTCTTCTGTTTGGGATATCTGTGTTATATTATCACTAACGAACACAAACAGCCCAAAGTCGAGTACGAAATCATTTTGTTAGTAACTGGGACTTTTTTCTATCTTCGAAGACATCCAAAATTATTTCATCTAAGTTTAAAGTTTACGTTGATGGTGTGGAATAATCATCGGCAGTTGAACTCATAACATACGACTAAAATTTTGTCTTTCCACTATATTCTTTGCAACACTGTATCTTTTTCGTTTAAAAACGTCATGAATATAATGAAAGGAAAAAATTCAATGCCTTTAATATTATTTTTTATATGAAACAATGTATTTTAGGTCCTAAACACAAAGCGGAATTATTATTCTATGTGAAAGCATATCATTTATATGCACAAGTGATGGAAGTAATACCGCAAAATTCTGAAGAATTCAAGGTATCTTTTATTTCTATGGATATTCTGATTTGTTGTTTTGTTAAACTTTCAGTAACTCTCTCGGTAAAGCAGTATATTGTAACAGTTATCAATATTATTCATTTAAATTTAAGATATTTAGCGATTTAAAATGTTTGAATGATTAGATTTTTATAGTTTACATCACAGCCTGAAATTTGTTGAAAAAGACAAAGCACTGGATATAGCTGTTTTGCCTCAAAGTGAAAATCCTCAATTGTGCCTACTTACTTGCTTACCGGGCTTGGGACCGACAATAGCCTCTGGAGGAACTACAGGCGGAGTTTCAATTGTGCGTATCCACAACTAATTATTTACGGATTCATACCCTCCACTCCGTCTAATTTGCGTTGAACAGTTATGTACGACAAATTTATATACTAGATGATTTGAGTACATTCCAGTCGTCGATCTATGATGGAAAAAAAGTTTGTTTACTATACTTCTGTGAAATATAATCATAAATTCCCTTTTTTCATCTTGAGATTTTTCGAACAATTATAGCAACCATCCTACAATCAATTTCGATTCTAGTCAATTTTGGTCAAGCCCTTTTTATTAATTAACTTACTTAACAGACATCGTCATTTGAATAATAACAATTTGCATGTTCTTTGTGCTGTTATGACCACTAGAGCACATGACACTCTAGCCAAAATGTTGACTGCTTAAATATCACTTGATGACTCATACTCCTCCCCATATATGTATGAGCGCGAATCCTATTATCAGCTTTTGTTTTGTCATGCTGTGCCCTTATTAAATCTGACTATAAATTGCCTATGTAATTGTTTGCTACTCGTTCTCTTGTTCGCCTGTTCACTCGCTCGTTGATATTCGCTCAGGTGTTGTTAGCTTTCTGACCTGAATTATTCGACAATAAAGTGTAGTTGCTGCTTTCCTTTGTCTTCTGATTTTACGCACCGTTAATATTAGAATTATAACGGTTATCGAAGTGAACGATTAACAAAGCACGACGCAACACGCTCAACCTTGCAATTATCAAAGATACTGATATATAAACTATCGAGATTATGTGTTTATGACTTAACCATTTGTTGTTTTGTTTCTTTTTCGTTCCTATCGTACAATATCTCTTCTCCAATTCACATTGATCATAAAGTCTAATAGTTATTTTATACCGAAACAAATATTTATCTAATTGAACTGAAATTTTAAGTAACCAAAGTTGTAGATTAGAGTCCACTTAGTAATTGATTTAATCATGGCTAATGGAAACAAAGTTTGAATATATCTGTTGGTGTTGTTACGACTTACTTTTGAGTTTTTTTTAAGTAAAAATGTGATTTTAAACAATCTTCGTGTACATAATTATATTGTAATCAATATAAATAAATAATTCAACTGTAAACACTCGTTTGTTCCATGGCCATTTAAATTGCGAATTAACAACATGTAAACCATTTAATGAATGCATGTTATGCTTTTAAAATGCTTTCCATACCAGTGACACAAATTAGTCGCTATCTGAGCTCTGTAGCCAACTGGAAAGCGTGTCGGCATCTGGTTTGCAGGTTCATCTAGCCGATGTATTTCATACAGGATGAAACATGCGTTCTGAATTTGTTACCAGTCACAATCCTTTTATATTAAGCTACCCGACTATAGTTTTTGATTAGTAAAAGGAATATTTTTAGAGGGAAACAAATAATTTAATCGTTCTTTGATTTACATACATACGGTTTATTAGTGTCATAGTTTTTTCCCATAGCTAAAATATTATTCGATAAGAACTTCATCAAATACTCAAGTAATTCAATGACGTGATTTGTTGCAGTACATCAATTTTAAGCCCCATCATTGCATTAGTGACCAGCGGTAGCATTTGAGTGTGTATCTTTATCAATTATTTTCACTTACAATAGTTTGAGTTTCGTAGTTTCCATTATAAGTGGACACTCTCGACAGAACCTCTGAAACAATTAGGACACTTTGGAGTTCTGGTGAAAAGTTGTCAGTTTTTGTGGATTCAACTAGAATGGGAAAGTTACTACTTAGTTGACCTACTGTTGTTTTCTATTCAGTCTTAACTCGTGAGTGCCCACTGGATATTTCAAACAAATATGAATCGTGAGCAACGGTGATTGCAGATAGCCGATAGGAAACCTTGGTTTCAGGTTCCATACTTTTCGGGACTCTTCAGCGAATTGTACCTGTATGTTCGAAGAAACTGGTGCTCCCAAGTGGTTTCAATTCCTGTTACCAAGCTTCACAGTGAGAGACGTTGATACTGGTCTATTCGGACCTCTACTGATCTCTTTTAGAACCGAAATTTATTTGTAACTTATTGATCACTAAGTAGTGACCAATATTATGTATGTCAAGTCCTTCGTGTTGATCGAATTCTGTAGATCAAGTCTCAGTTTGACCATGAGTCAGTACTAAAAAGTATTAGATATACATTATATTGATGATCAGTAATGAATCAATTGTAAAAGTAAATCAGCTGTATAATAATCCTTGATTTCCAGTGGTTATATTGTTACCCTATAAAAATCACTTTCTTGTTCACAAAATCCACCCAAAATTTATTCTATCGGTCAGTCAATGTAGGAAATGATATCAATATGTATATCGTTTATATTCACGATTCAAAAGGCTTGGTTAGCTTCTGCCAACTTTCGTCACTTGTCAAGTAGGCGAGATATCCGTCTTCTGACCTAAAGGCTAGTTTACTTCACGGCAGTTCACTTCGTTCTACTTTATAAATGTGAAACAGTCATTAATAGTAAAGGATATTTATTGACTGCAGATATTCGATTATAGGTGTCTGCGGAGCATTGCTCGTGTATTTTGAAACCATGGAGTAAGTAATACTTGGGTTAGTAATAGAGTACGAGGTAAGCATGTTAAGTCGATTGATGAGGTATCATTATTATTTGAACACGTAAATATTTGTACAAAGGGGCATCGAATACATAGCGCCACACAAAAAGCTTCATTTGATTTGTGTGTGGGCTGTGATACTACCCAAGTGCCCAGACTGAAGGAGGTGCTTTTCTCAAGGGGTCACACCGGGAGCCTTTGACCTAAAGGTCTGATCCGCAAGGCAGTGGAACAACATCAGGAGATGCAGTTCCATCGTAGTCGGTGACCAACAATAGGTTCATACGCCTTTTGTTCCTTCAGGATACTGGAGCCCATGTGCATCATTGGTTTGGTTCCAACTTTGCCAGGTGAACCCTCCATTTCCACTAACCCGATTAAAGCGCCGGACATTCGCTTTTCATCGTCTCAGTTTCGTAAACTGCACTGCCACTGAGAAAAAGCAGTGGCTGACGAGGCAGTAAATCTTCATTAACCGAGGTGGTTAGGACATGTACCCGATCACCGCCTACCTCAACGGGTGATGTTTTCTGTGGTGAGAGTAGACTGGAAATAAACTAGGAGTAGCCAAAGTAAAACAGAGCATCAGTCCATGAAGTCACTGACTTTAGTACCTAACCATGTCAATGTGTATACATTACCTGGTGCGGTCCGCGTGTTTATCGTAAACAGTGGTTAGGGACTTTAAGTGACATGCCTCATAGTCGTTGACAATGGTGCAGATGCATCCATTCTTTGTCTCCTCCTAAATTGTAAGGTTCTGAATTCATGTTTTTACTTCATTAATTTATATCTTCTTCTTGAATCTTATCTTCGATCCTTTATCTTTTCTATTACCACTGATACTTTTACTATCTCTACTATTCCGGGATCTGGCTTGACAAATTCATCTCTCTATGTTGATGGGTTATGATAACTTAAACCGGTGTATATACGTGCCAGATTCTACATTGTAACTAACTGACTGATCATTTGTATTCCTTATTTTACATAGTACTTTGTACCATATTTTAACATTGCTCACTTGATAGTTGTCTCACATGAAAAAAATACTTTCAATCCACCTATTAACTATTTTATGTTTCACAGTCAAAAATAAAACATAATGAATTACTGTTCAATATTATAATCTTCCTCTAGTTGTCATGCGGGTATTTCGTTTTCATCACTAATGATTATATTGAATAACAGAACTATCTAATTTAATCTAATCTAGTCATATTTGTGTATCCTGATCATTTTCACATTCCATAATTCAATAATCTAGAAATTTATTTGTAAACTGTTATTTCACTCAATAAATAATTTACATAGTAAAACAAAAACACAACTCATTAAAAACTATATACATTTTAATTTTATTTTTCTTATAAATCATTAAATTTTTAATGTAGTGTTCTGAAAATATTGATTTGTAAGTTCTAAACAATCAAAATAGCGTGACATATGTATTATATATTTATTAGAAGGGGGGTTTGTGAAGATCTTAGTAATTTTATATATAGTTGAAATCATGAGTCAGTTGAAGCTAGACCACCATGAAAGACCTGGAAGTACTGGATGGTCGTTTCGTTCTATTGTGGGGCTCCTCAGTGGCTTATTAGTCTCGAGCTCGAGCGCTTAACCATTAGACCACCAAGCCGGCATCCAACGGTGTTGATGTCTAACTTCAACCAATCCACGAAATTGAGTAGCCATTCATCAATGCCTCCAATGAGTTGATATTTCACAACAGACCTTGTTGAACTCTACTGGTTACTGCTTCTCACTAGAACTCCAGGAAGTACCTCATGGAGCTAGCCACTAGTGAGCATATGATCATTATTAGAAGGGGGTTTGTGGAGAGACTGAAAGGTCTTGGGTTCGAATCTCGCGAGGTGGGATCGTGGATGCTCACTGCCACTGAGTAGTCCCACAATAGGACGAGACGGCCGTCCAGTGCTTCCAGGTTTTCCATGGTAGTCTAGCTTCCATTGACTCATGATTTCAACTATATAAAATTATTAATATCCTCACAAACCTCCCTTCTAATAATGATCATATGCTCTCTAGTGACTGGCTCAATGAGGTATTACATATTTGTTAAAGAAAGATTCATACTTTTTTAATTTAATATTCTTTTATCCAGTGTTTTTGATAATGTCGCTTATCATTGTACAAGTTAGAAGGGTTTTTTTGTTAAAAACAATTCTATTTAGTCTGTACTTTAAATCATTTACATTTAGTCAAAAATTGAAAGTGAATTTTACTTGAGAACATATTAACTATACAATCGATAATCCAAAGAATAAGATATTGAATTCAGTTTACAACTAACTCATTCTTCTTAAGACCTGACAGTGTTATGTTCCATTGTTGATGGAATCATCGTTGTTTATCACACTTGAAGTATCCTGAAATTGGGGGAAACAGTTATTCAATCCTTTCTAAGTTTCCGAGTTGTAAAAAGGTCAAGTCAGCTTATAACAAAAACTTAAAACAGAACTTATCTCCACAACTAACCGGAGTAATCAGAAATTATCATATATTTTACTGAATCCACTTGAATTATACGATTATCAATTATTTATTGTAAAGGAATTTTCGAAAGCTAAGCACTCAAACGTACACAGTTGATTACTGATAAGTTTTACTTGAATTTTATATCTGCAGATGTGTGAGATTAGAACGCATTAAGTTTCCAATTGTAATTAAATAGTTTAGGGGCTATTGCTCGAAATCAGTCATAATAACAAAGATTTATTCATTCCTTATCATTTACTTTGAAATCATGAGTCGTAATTTCAGTTTTCAAATCTTTTGTTCTCCGACTTTATTTATTGTTTAAGAGTTTTATTTCCTTTATTTAGCCTTCTAATGCTATCAGCTTAGGGGGGATGCATACCTATACAATGTTTATTAACTGTTTGGAAGCTATTGACCATTAATTTACGATAGTTTTAACGTCGATAAGAGTGTATACTGAAGAATATCAAGTTTTAAGTTTGAAGGTAGCTCTTCGTCAAACTAATTGTTCTTCGGTCACCGTAGATTTTTATCCTTGTAGTTAGTTCTCTCTCTTCAGTGGGTGCTCACCTACCGAGTTTGTTTCTGTATGGTTATCAATTACCATGCTTTTAAAAACTCTTCAACTTTATATTTCTACAGTTAAATTCTCATTCATATCTATTCACATGGGTTAATACAAGTGAAGATTTGTCGTGAAATTCATTAGATGAGTGATGTTCGAACAAATGACCAGAAGATGACTTTATTCTATTTAGTGCCTTTTCGTAGGTGTGTATATATTATATACTATATTAAATACTTAGGTTTTCATAGTACATAGATCATAAATATCTCATAGTTCACATTACGAATTGACCGTAATTAAATAAACGTTCAAATCCTAGACGCACTGAACAGCTGTTTCATTCTAATGTAGGATTCAGAAATGGCTAATCTTACAGAACTTAACAATTTCATCTTCTTGTTGATTTTTGCGTGTGAAGTAATATAATTAATGGAGTTTTAAAATAAAAAATTTTATACGTTGATTATTATTCGAGATTACTTGTTCCACTGTTGCCTTTTTATATTTTATGTTGGTTTCACCATCAGATTTTAGGTAACTTCATTGGTCTGATTTAACATATTTTCTCACTTATTCCTTTTTTGTATCCAATATTATAGATTATTTGTCAGTTATGGGCAGATTATTTAATTACTTCACAAAATTTAATTTATGCTGGTCAGATTTACATGAAAGGTGGATTTTACGGTTTAGCTGCAAAAACGTTCTTATCTGCAACTAACACCCAGCTATGGTGTATTGCCGCTGCGAACAGTCGACTTTTGAATGATAAAAATAATACTGATTTATCTACTGATCACTATTTAAGTAATACAGAGATACGTACTCAAGCACAAAAGTTAGCAGGTGATTTACCATTACTATCATCAGTATTACTCGTTTCAATTTATTTCATACATTTTTTCTTTAATTTATTGTAAACCGGGTACCACGTCGGTTGATTAGACTGTAGATCTTTGATTGATGTGGTTGAAGCATGTGTTATGTATGCCCATCCAACGCTTATTTTGACGCCGATGTTATAGTAGGTTGGAAGAAAACCAGTATGTAATATCATTTCATGGAATCACTGTCTGACCGACTAGGCTATGTAATTTGGTTCACATCACCTGCTTGGAGTCATCATGATAAATGCGTTCATTCGTTTGAGGATGTTAAGTGACATGACTCAGAATTCGTCATAGTGACGGTGATGCATTCATTCTTTATCCTTCTCTAGATCTTCAGTTCTAGTATTTCTTCACATAAATCTTTTCTCATTCCTTCTTCTTGAACCATATCCTCAATCTCTAACCTTTTTTATCATCGTCTTTGTATTTTTTCAATCCATTTCGTATCCCTCTAATTAATTTTACCTTCTTGTGCTAAGATGGTATGGCAACTTGGGCTAATTCACATTTGTTCAAGACTCCGGGTTGAGTACGGCCGACTGACGTTCATGTTGTACTTATCTACGTACTCATGTTTGTACCACATTTTCACGTGTTTGTGTGTGTGAGTTCAAGAGCTAGTAATATTTCTATAGTGAACGAAAACTCATGTGAAGAAAACTGATTTATTGTTTCATATAAAACTCTACGTGCTTTCATAAAATATGAAAATTATACATTAAATACATTCTTTACACATATTCCTTTAGGTTTCCTTTGCATACTTCATAGTTCTTCCAATTTAGTTGTTATTTCTATTTCTCTCTGGTCCCCTTTCTGTTCTCTTCAATTCCATCTTATGTTAGGAGACATTCTACATCCGAATACTCTTACATACTACTCATATATGTAAACATAAGTAGCATATACCACACTTTTACTCGGATCCCTAAAATTTAGGAAATGGAGTCGGATACTAATCTGACTCTCAATATTCAGATTAGTAATCAACAATTCCACTATGACATAGAACGTGAAATTAATCTGAGTATTTATCGAATACGAATTCAAAGGAAATAATTCTACTAGTTACCTTTCTTAGAATAGTTTAAATTTGGATGAACTAATCTTATCAATGCTAGTGTATTAAACGTTGTACAATCTTTTCTCACTGATTAGCATTTCTGTGCATAACATCAAATACACTGTCGTCTTTAACATCATCAATGCAGTCGAATTCCTGTACTTTATTATACACTTGTTTTTCATTTTGATACAGGTCACATATGAATTACAGTCTTCATGTGACTGATTAAATAATTAATTAGTTGATAAGATAAAATATATCATTTCGAATAAGCCCATTAATTTATCTTGTTTTTTATACATAAATATTCATAATTATAGTTGTCCAACATGTTTGATTGGTAAATTTATAAAGTTCACCTATTTTAAGAATTATATAGAGTTGATCATTGATTGTATTTGATCATATCTCAAATTGATTGGAGTTAGAAATGTCAACTATTGAATAGTGCTAATTTCGATAGTGTTCGTCGTGAAACCTAAAGGTCCCGCGTTTGGCTCATGACAATGACGTGCTCAAACCTCTTTACCATTATTATCCCAAACTTGCATTCATTGTCAGGAATTTTCCTGTTCTAGATTCGTTTTAATTAACTAAACTAGTGTCTATCAATCACATATACCTACATGTTTTTTTAAAAAGATTTACAACCTATTTTAAATCAAATTACTAAAAGGTTCATAAAGTACCACCATAGTGGCTCGTATATTTTACTTCTCTGTTTTTTTGTTGGAGAAATAAGAGGTGATTATCATAGGATTCATGCATCATATAGATTCGGTAGTGAAATAAGATGTCTTAATGTAGTGAACGAAAACACAAGTGAGGACAACCACATGTATTTCAACACAAAATTACAGAATCTCTTACTAAAATCTGGGGACCATACAGTAAATCTTTTTTTTTCCACACCAATCACTCTCTTCTCTTCGATCTTAATCTTCTGCCGCCAGGTATTTCACTTTCGATCGATGATACATACTGTTTATATCTATCGACTATTTCTTTATTTAAACACATAAACATTGGTACAAGGAGGCACCAAATAGATATGTGCCACATAAATCAATCGATTTACTTGAGGGCTGGGATACCGCCTGGGTGCCCAGACCGAAGCAGATGGTTTCTCTAGGAGGCCACTCTTCAACCCTTTGACCTGAAAGTCTAATCCACAAGGCAATGGAGCAACGTAAGGAGATGCAGTCCCATGGTAGCCAGTGACCAACAATAAATTCATACGCCTTTTGTCCCCTCAGAATACTTGAGCCCCTTTGAAGCATTGGAATCAGCATCTTCCAACTCCCATAATTGGACCCTCCGTGTCCACCAACTCGGTTAAAGCGCCGGACATTCTCTTTTCGTTCTCTCAATCCCTTAAACAACACCCCCGCGACGAAAAAGCAGTAAGTAGGACTTGCTTGGTAGTGGTTGTATGCATGTGGCCACTTGAGAGCATTTCGAGAGTGAGAACTGACTCAGCTGTACCAGGGCATCAGTAGCACACACCACAATAGAAGCCAATCTAGTTTTATTCAGTCAGTCAAATGAAAAGTGGAACCCAGCACATATGTTCTTCGATTTAAATTGCTATCCCCCATTAGTACGAGATGGAATTTTTAAGGCAAATCTCAGAATAGTAGAGGTAGTAATAGTATCATTGGTAATAGTAAACACTAAGCATTGAAGATACAGTTCGGTAAAATATAAATTAGTGAAATAATAAAAAATAAAAGCTGTTAGGGGTTTAGAAATTGAAGACCTACAAAAAGATAAAGTGTGTGCACCTGAGCTATTCCGAACGATTTTGAGCCATGTTACTTAAAGTCTTTAACCAATGGTTATGATAATCTAATGAATTCTAACCGGATAGTTTGCACTTATTTATACGGATCAGTTCAATCGTTAGCGTCTTCATGGACTGATGATATGTTTTGTCTTGACCGAAGCTTTCTACCAACCTACCACATCAGCCATCACTGAGTATCGAGATAGTTTATGGATGGGCGTACGTAATACATGTCCCAACTATCTCAGTCGATAAAATTCATTGATCGTGCTTATTTTAGGAGGAATATAAATGTCAGTCAATCATTACTCAATAACTTTTTATGTATATATTTTCGAATATTCACAAGTTAGGTCCCCATAAAATACAAGTTTCGGTGCAGTTTTGTTTTACTGTCTAACTGATATTCTTTACTTTAGCCAAACATACAGTATATATTGAACGAAGGATTATTATTATTATCACTATTGTATCCAATTTATTTCTGATCATCTATAAAGTTATTTGTATCGTGCAATCAAACAATACTGGTCCACCAGGGTGCTTGGTACCTGTGTGGTTGTGCCACAGGATTGAGCTGTACTGTTCGGATTTTAGCGTTGAAGCTTATCTGGTTCTCCTGAAAAGCAGTACAAAATTACCCTGGCCCATAAGGGTATATTATATAACTGTGAATATAACTGAATCAAACAATACACAAACACATTAAGTACACTTCAAACATATTAATGTTGTGTATTTTTTCAAAATAAATTTATTATTAAAGTGTTTACAAAAGAACAATGTACATTTGTTTTTACATTATTATTGATCATAGTTGTTTACAGTTTGATTTTCATGTGTTTTTTGTCTAAAGCTCGACTAAAAGATCTTCGACGTCATCAAGAAGCTGTTCAAATCTATATTGACTTTTTAGAGGTAGGGAAGATTATTTTTTGATGAATAACTGTTTCTGTTATGAAAAAAAGATAGATCACATGTTATCAGTCTACATACGACAGTTAGAATAATCAAAAACCACACCGTGTAGACGACAAGTGTGCGGAAGTTTCATTCTTGTCGTACAGAAACAAAGCAATGGTTACTTTAGTATAACTATAATTTTGAAGTTATTTCTCAATCTGTAAGGGGAGTGGTCCCCTAAGAAAACCGCCTGCTTCAGTTTGAGGGCTCGGGCAGTATCCAAGCCCTCACACAAATCGTATGATGAAGTGTGGCGCATATGTATTTGGTACCTTCTTGTACCAGTATTTACGTGTTTAAATAAATAACCTGTATAAATCAAAAATATTTCACAACAGAAGTCATAAAATCTGTTGAAGTTTATTAGTCTTTGGTAGTTTATCAGCTTTTCAATGCCAATTATTAGATCTCCCTTCTTAATATTGTAGAAATATCACTGAATTACGTCATTTATTTGAGCGTTTCTTATTAAATATTTCTCATAGCCCTAAATAGTTGTATAGAAAATTTATTATCCCATACAGAATCTTTGTCAATGAATTCTCTGAAGAGCTGCAAAGATAGCGTTATGAGACGAAGATGATTGTCCTCTCACAAATATAAGAAATTCATACGTAAAAGTGATTATCAAATTTATCATTCCTACTTAATCAGATTACCTTTTATTCAATCTATCACTAATGATGTCATACATTTGAGAATTTACTATGAACTCAGGTAATTAAACCAAAGGCTAACTGATTTTGGAGTTGTGTACAGTCTACATAAAAAGAAGCGATCATCTCATACTTTTAACATTGCCGTTTTCACTCTGAAATGATAAAAGAAAAGAATTTTTACTCATAATTGTAAACTCTCTAAACACTGAATGCATGGTAGGTACTTCTGTTGTGTATGCTACTTATGTCGATAGACATAAGTAGTCATTGGGATTAATTCTAAGCTATATCATTCAACGTCTCTAACTGTTGGTTGCTATAATCGTGCGGACCTCTAAACAAATAAAACTTTTCAGATTACAAACAGCCGAAATTCAACAAACAATGAGTTTATGAAGTCTTGACAATTGTGTTATTACACATTATGCGTACTGAAACAATAGTAGATACAAAATACTTTTTATTATTGAAATTTTTTATTATATATCCTGTTTCTATTATTTTCTTGTCCTATGATTCATTATAGGATCCTGTAATGGCTATCAGAACAGCTTGTGAAGATTGCCTGTGGATGGATGCCCATCGATTGGTAATGCTTTACATTTTACTGAATAACATATTTTTAACAAAATACTTATTTTGTTGTATAAAACAGTATACTTTATTTTATAAAATACAGAAATATCAGGCATAAACAACATAGAACCTGATAGTATACATGAATCAGTTCAATTTATCACACTATATTAACATTGTCAGATGAGATTATCAAGATAAATCCTAGAATACTAAGAGTAGTAACAACAGTATCAGTCGTTGTAGGAAAGTTTATCCACAGACAATATGGTTTGAGAACAAAAAATTGAATTGGTCGGATAAAAAGTATGAGCTCAATTTTAAACTCGAGTATTAAGAGTAAACGCATCTGGGTCATTGGATTTGGTTTTAAGCTGTGTCATCCAACGTCTCTAACCGTTGGTTACAATAATCGCGAGGACCTTGAACAACTAATCTGGATCTACCTGCTTGGCTGAGTCTAACAGTCAATGACTTCATGTTTTAGCTACCCTTAGTTTTCTTTCAACCTACTCTTACACAAGTCACGTACGTTGAAGTAGCCGGTGGTTATGCATAAGTAATGCACATCGTAATCACCTCAGTTGATCAAAATTCACTGTCTCCAACGGATCTACCATCCTCACCTTGTACTGTGTGTCTGACTGTAATATTGCTCACTTGGCCGTTCCACGATACGGCAGCAATGCTTCAAAGGTACTTATGATCGAATACTAGTAACCTACAAATACCCTCTACTTTGAAGGCCAAACTTCATAATCTTAGAATAAAGCAGATTAATTCACAATAGGTTCATCTTTTGGTTAGTAAACACGAAAAATATTCATAAATTCATGTTCATTAATTTTCCCTCAAACTTTAAAATTATTTGTAGACAATCAGATTTGAAATATCTGTTTCCGTATTCGACCAGTAAAAGTTTCTCTATTCTCTCTTTTTTTTCTTCATGTATGTTGTATAGGCATCATTGTATAATAAACAAGAATTTTTAAACCAAATCCTTAAATCTTCTTTAATTGAACATTATTCTATCTTGAAAGAAAGATTGCATAAATCCATTGATACATACGATAAATTATTCGACCGATTAATTACCCTACGTCAAATGCATAAACAACAGGCGGAAACACAACGATTTGTTCAGATGCATGGTGATAGAGAGTATTTTGGTAAGTCTTAGTTTGATTAGATTTACTAGAGGGAGGGGGTATAGGGATGAAATGTTTGTAAATAAACCGATCTTATGATAAATTCATTTTGTATTGTTTGTTTGAATCTTCCCACTGATGTTTTGGACTGCAATTGATCAGTCTCTTATTGGCATATATCCAGCTAATGAGTCCCAAATAGGACGAAATACGAGTTTTTGATTTGACTGCTAGCCACCATCCATCTTTGCTTATGACAATTTTATGATACTTTATTTTATATACTGATTTCTAATTAGTTGGAGATATTTTGTCCAGTCTTAAATATGTTGTGCTACTTGTATCTGTCACAAAAAACAAAGTTATATCTGGTATACATATGCTTTGATTTTAGGTTTCCGCATCTTATATCCGCACAATGAAAGATGTAAATAGATCACTAGTAGGCAACAGATAAAATCTTGAGACAAATAGTAGAATATTAAAAATCTCCAGCTTTAGAACAACCAGTTATGACTGATCATCCTAGCAGACATTATCTACGAAATCTACACTTCATGATGCTGTGAATTGGATCAATAGTGTTACATCTTGTGGCCGAGTGGATGCCTCGTAAATGTGTGACGCGATAAGACCCGCCAAACAGGGAGCAGTGAATTATCGATTGGAACAGTGACACACGAAACCGTACGAGCAGACTAGAGTGCTAACCGATCCTGCGATCTGCCTAGCCCAATCAGTTAAGCCCAAAACACCAATAACAGCCTCAGTGGTATGAATCATTGTATTTCAAGCACACTGAGTTTATATACCAACCAAACAAACCATATCGACCCATAAAATAGATAATAACATTTGTACAATATTTAGCCGAATGTGGCTGTGAATAGTAATCAATAAACTGATGATAACTCAAGGATCGTATAATAATAGTTCAAAGGTCAAAATAAAGTTAGTGATGAGAGGAAACGAATATGATTAGGTTAATTACAATAGGAAATATACATATTATATTGACCAATAAATAGTCCTCAAAAGTTACCATTCGTAATTCTCTTCGGGATACAACAATAGTTAACAACTTCATGAACTAATCTAGTCAACTCCTAGGTGTTTTATCCGAAACGTTTTTTCACGTGTGAATGTACGTAACACTACGTTATGGGCGATGGGTTTTAGCTCACACTGTTCAAGTTTGTGTTTACTTACTATACACCAATCTTATGTTTGCCTTTATGTATTTATGACGTTATAGCAATATATTCTGTACTTCGTGAGAGCCCTTTTGCTCTATGCTTTTGAAACTCGATCTCTCCGAGTTGAGGATGTTAGACGACTCTCTGTGCTTGATCATCTTTGTCTCCGACGGATTGCTGACATCCAGCGGCAACACCATGCTAGTAATGCAGAGGTCCGAAATTGTGTGTTTGGGCACAACAATAATAATTCAGTTTGTCACCAACATTGACATCGGTGTCTTGGACATTTACTACGAATGTCATCCCATGTCGTGCATTATTTGACGACTCTGGGACTGATTGGAAAAGGCGGAGTGGTGATCAGTGTATGACATGGTGTCGTGGTATGAAAGAAAGCTGTACGGAATTGTCTTCTGTTAGTGCTTCACGGCTCCTTGGTTGGAGTTTTAGAAATGGTTCAACACAGTGGCTAGAGACTTTATCAAACATGGCTGTTGTAACTTTTTACTTTCTTTATAAAAGTGAACGTAACTTCTTTAACCGAAATGATTCTTTCTGGTTGTATTTTTCCTAACTGAACTGCTTCTCCCATTTTTATTACTGACTTTAAATGTTGTATCAATGTTATTGATTCCCCTTTGTTCTCATCACTGTCAAATACAGACTGTTTTGTTTATTATGGTATTCAGAACGAAATTATCTTCCTTGCCTACCATTATGTGTATGATAGTTCTTCCTTGATTTATAATTAGAGTAGAGTAAAATACCAGTCACATGTACGTGTACTAATTATGTCACTGTTCAGATTTAACAGAGAATTATTTCAAATCGATGGGAAGACTCAAACAAACAATACTAAATGAATTTAAACTTAACCCCATCGCACAAGCAAGTGGTTATCAGGACTCAGTGGCCGAGTGGATAACGCGATGGCGTTTAGAGCGAAAGGTTCTGAGTTCGAGTTCCAAATAGAACGAGACGCGCATCAAACTGGATTCCACTGCTAGTCACTATCCATCTTTCCTTACAATTCTTGTGAATTAAGGCTATATATCAAGGCAATACGCACAGCATGCACATATGCCAATTAGAGACTGACCAGTTGCAGTCCTAACACATCGACGGGAAGATTCAAACAAACAATACTAAATGAATTTAAAGAATGGTAGTCATTGCAAGTTTACTAAATAATTAAACAACAAGTATTAAGTGGATTACAACAACAACAAAAGAGTTATTGAATAAACCACTTTCATGAAACATAAGTTGAATCATTTTGATGAGTTTTTCACTAATTAACATCTAATTAGAGTGAATCACAAATATGAAGTAAATAAATATTGATTTGAATTCAACTTAGTATTGTCTGTTTGAATCTTCCCATCGATTTGTTAGGACTGCAACTGGTCAGTCTCTAATTGGTATATGTGCATACTGTGCGTATTGCCTCGATATACCTTAATTCACAAGCATGGTTAGCAGAGATGGATAGTGGCTAGCAGTGGAATCCAGGACGCGCGTTTCGTCCTATTTGGGACTCGTCAGCTGGATGTACCTGCATCTCAGAGTTGATGTTTACTCTGGGACTCGAACCCAGTACCCTCGCTTCAAACAAACAATACTAAGTTGAATTTAAACTTCACCCCATCGCACAAGCAAGTGGCTATCAGGACTCAGTGGCCGAGTGGATAACGCGATGGCGTTTGAAGCGAGGGTACTGGGTTCGAGTCCCAGAGTGAACATCAACTCTGAGATGCAGGTACATCCAGCTGACGAGTCCCAAATAGGACAAAACGCGCGTCAAACTGGATCCCACTGCTAGCCACTATCCATCTCTGCTAAATATTGATTTGGCTCTTCTTTTTTGTTTACGGTCATCCATGTTAAATTTGTAGCTTATGTAAAAGTACGTACTTTGTAATCGATACCAATGATCGAGTTATACTTACTTATCTTTTTATATCCTCATACTGTAGTTTTAATGTTTTAACTTAATAATCCTTTTCATCGTAATAAAGAATAATAGTCATGATTTTGAAACAAACTAAATCGGTACACTTAGTTACCAAGCTTGTGTGATTCGTTTTAATGATATAGTTAAACACTCTTTATGTATTGATTTTCGTGTACATTGAACAATAGACAACTTTCCTTTTTTGTAACTTGTTATTCTGTCTAGTATTCCCTGACTCATAATTTTTTTTTACTTAATCGTTCCCAAATCAGAGCCAGAACTGACAGTGAACTGTATATACAATATACAACAAAGAATGCAGTAAATATATTAGACTCTATATTCAATTTATATAAGAAACTTGTAGTATCTCGACTTAATGACCAGCGGTGACTGATTGGAAATGAACCAAACTAAGTATTCTACTTGAAGCATGACCAGAGTGTGCAACGGTCATGACTCTATCGTGCCAATAAATGTAGGGGGAAAAAGTTGAATCCTTTCTGGAAGTTGTCCCACTATCGGTCATACATTTAGCAACAGTGACGTCATTAATAAAGACAGTCTAAAACAATAACGGGAAACGAAGGTATTACAGCTTTGACAAATTTAATACTTGATAAGTGTCTAAAAAGAATAGGGTTTTAATATTAGGCACGATTTAACCGAAGCTTTTAGATTACATAGATAACCATTTGGTTTTATAATTAACTAGTTTTTATAAATGCATAACGTGATCATCAACAATAGTCCTCATTTCAGATCCATCTTACTGATGAATGATAATTAGCATGAAATTTAGGTCTAAGGTTTCCAGTTGACTAAATCCGACCACTTAATATCAAAGTGTAGTGCACGCGATGTCGAGTCAGTTAAACCAATGGCTAACCAAATTGCAACTCGATCGGTAGGATTCAACCAGTACAAAGTAGGACCAGATAAACACGGCATTAGTCACCACTCAACTATTTATCAATTCATATATCAGTAATTATTAGAAAGAATAGATTACTTATAGAGAAACTAATAAATGATAAATTTCATACTGTTCTTTTCTGAAACAAATCTCTTCCAGATGATAACTTTTCTGAATCTGATATCAATTCAGATACAAGTAGTACGTCGGGAGATAGTATAACCAGTTCAATGAGCCAAATGAGTTTACGAACGTCAGGATCGAAAAAATCCGGGTAAGTAAGCTTAATTTTTACACTTCAATGATGTAGTGCACTGCACTGATTAATCTCTTACGTTTTTGTTGTTTCAACAAACTAAATGTAAGAACCATTTATGAATCAATCAACGACACACTAGGATGGGGGCTATTGAATAAAATCTTACTGTAGAATAGTCCATACTTAATATTTTCATTTGTCACCTTAATAACAAATGAATTACAGCGATGTAGTTTTTTTTTATCTACTAAGAGTTGGTGTTTTGACAAATATTCCATGCTTAAAATACTAATTTACCTTGGTAACAACTATACTGGCTCAGCTTTAAATGGACAGACAAACTATCATTTCGAGGTTAATATGTCTCTACAAAATCAGTCACCTTGGTATTTTAAAAGAAACTAATGAATATGATGTAACTATCTTCAACACTATTCTGGTTACAAATATACTTTTGATAAGTATAATTCTTACTTCACTTCTCATCATTAGTATCATTTCTTATGGCCCTATCTAATGTGATATGAAAAAACCACCAATCAGAATATCGACCTCCTTGACCTTGTCCCTGACACACCAACCAGCACTTGTAGCCTTTAAAAAACTCTCAATCCTCATTGATCTTCAGTGCAAAACTTTCTCCCTTTGCCCTCCCCGTTAAGTCCGAAACACAATAATCAGCTCCCACTATATGAATATTGCATTTCAGACATACGTAGTCTATATAAAAGCAGACCAGACCAAATCACACCATAAAATGAAAAATACCAATTACACAAGATCAAGTCAAAGGTGGCTGTGAGTATAGGAGACTGTAACTAATAGATTGAGAATAATTTAAGAATAGTTAGTCGTATAAACGTAGTTAACGGGTCAAATTAAAGCTTATTATGAAAGTGACTTTTACATTTTCTTGCTCACACTCCATCATCAAATGACATCCATGAACAATATCATGTATTAAATCATAACTGCTCAGAAACCTTATTATTTTTCAACTATCTAAACAGTTAATTAAGACCTAGAGTTTAAAATGCTGGTATATGAAACTGTACAGGAAAAAAACCTAGGGAGAAATAAGTAAGAATGAAGAGTTTCACATTAGGATGAAAAAATACTGGACCTGTTTGGGTTAGCATAAGTTTGAAACAGTTAAGGTTCTTACTCAGCATTTTAGTTTGGCATGTTTTTACAATACTGAGATTAGTGATTGATAACTTTATAAATTAATATCATGTCTCTGCATGGGCTTTTCTTAATAGAAAACACATCAGTCAGTCACATATGAGGTCTAATGTTAATACCTGGCTACCTAAAATCAAATTAAGTGGAGCGGAGTTCGAACCATTTACTCGCTAGTCGAAACATAACTGCTTGAATTATTAAACCACTTACTGCTCCACTAACACCATTTTGTAAACCTGAGTAGACAGTAATCTGTTAACCATAAATGCATACGTCTCAATTTTGTCAGCTTTTACAGCCCAAAGAAATTCGACCATTATATTTATGACATAAGTAAACACTACACCCATTTTATAGCGCATATATGTATACATACTAAGGAAAGTTTCATGAATTTCTTTTCATGGTGGTTAGCTGTATACGCTCATTCTGTTTTTCTTCCGATAAAGACGTTCGATGAAAGCCAAACGAAAACAAGAAGCAAAGAGATGGAGTTCAAAACCGGGTAGTAAATACGAAGAAGTTGGTCTATTACATGAACTAACTCAATCAATAGAATTGGGTCAATCACTCGCCAGTAAAATTTTATTTATTATTATTTGACTTTATATTTTTAGCTAATGAAATAATTGAATAGGCAATAATTAGGTTACGCATAGGATACTAGGCAAATGTGTCATATCGGTTATACGTCCTTAACGACGGAGGTGACTGGTACATGTGTTACGCATAATTGTAAGTTTAATCCACTTAATATGTAGGCTACCCGGTTGAAGTTTACGTGTTAGTTCTGATCAATGATCGGAAACCTCGAGCAGTTCATAGCTCCAAATTGGTGAAAATGATACAGTTGCATCAATTTTACCTTCCCTTAAATTGTGGGTTATAGTATGACTTCATTCTTTTTATTCTGTGATTATTTCATTCCTGATTTTCGAATCATGTTCTTTTTTCACAACCATAAAAGCTTCGGCTACCTCAGCTCTTGTGCTGAATAATATTTTTCCAACCTCATCTTTCTTTATTGATATGGTGTAGTAATTTGTGCACGTTCCTACATTATGACTGCCTGGTCAATTAATACTGTCTCTTTCATAAGATAGAACAATAATTTTTTTATGGCAAGTGTATGTCTTTGCTAGACAAGATTGATTTTAACCTAGGTAGACAGTGAAGCCCTAGAACTTCATACTGATAACTAATTAGTGAAATGAAATCCACTGACTTTTGCAATTACCGCGAATATTGATGCATATAATTTAGAAGCAATCAACAATGAAATTCAACAAGCGTTAATTCTCCTCATAGTTTTTGTGGTTTTATTTTCTCCTAGTCGATATCTACCATATTAATAAGTCGTATACACTGAATCCCCAGCCGGTTTTTAGACGGATACAATTATCGACATTTGAACATTAAAACCAACAAGTATGCGGAAATTTAAAAACAGCTTTCCTTCTAAGGTTAGTTCATATACAAGTTACATTAAGACTCGAGGAAAGATACTGTAATAAACTTGGAACATAAACAGTCAGATTAAAAGAAAGTGATAGGGTTCTATGCAAATATGAAAAATTTTATTGTTCAAGTAGTGAATCTCCTTCGACTGAGCTGACTGGGATATATATCCACCAACTATCTCGATGCGCGATGATGGCCGATGTAGTAGCTGGTTGGAAGAGCTTGAAGCGGCCAAACCAGGATATGTCAACAGTACAGTATGTCATCGACAGTTGGATGTAGACTACTTGGAAGAAATTCGTGTGATTATCGTAACCAATCATTCGAGGCTTTGGGGAGCATCACTCAAGTTCATTCACTTTTTGTCTTACTGAGTTTCAAAATACTTTTTTTCACTACTGATACTGTTTCGAGTACTCTGGAATTTTAACCTGCTGTGCTAATGTGGTATGACAAGTTGAACCAATGCATGTGTCATGTCCTACGTTGCATGACTGACTATAAAATGACAGCGCGATCAGATGTATTCATATACATCAAATATTCGATCTAATCTGTTTGTTTTTTGTACTATTTCCAATTTTCTAAATTAAAAACGGCTGTTTTCCAAAGAAAAAAACTACTTACAACTAGATAGCGAAACGTCAGAAATCTAATTTCCTATTCATTGAAGCATCACAAATACAGTATTGTTTATATCATTATTATATTTGTTCACTGTGATACCCAGTCACAAGGTGCACTTTTATGTAATCAGTTTGATCTGTTACTGTAGATAACTTTCCTAGCTGTTTCTGAACAATTTCATTCTATGAAATCCTTACTCTAAAAAAGAAGACAATATTGCCGCGGAGTATGTTTTTTTCCAATAAAATATTTGGATTAACCTTCATATTGTAGGTTTGATTGCCAGACTTTATATACTTGATGACATTATTTAAAATCTAGATAAATTTGCGATTCTCTCTTGGTAGACGAAGTTATGAACTCGCTTACGGAATTTTGGTATACAAACATGTTTGGAGAAGGTCGTACGCTGATACTCTCAACTAATGACTTATTAAGGAAGCAGAAACAAGGATTGTCATCTATCTGGGATGATTGGACAACTGGTAAAGTAAGTACAAATCAATATTTTTTCTATTTATTCACCTAAAGCTAACAAATTAAGAAATACTTTCAACATGTTAATAACTCTTATCTGTTAAAAAACATGTGACTTTCGAGAAATAGACCATGATTTCGAACATCGCGCTTAATGTACTTCAGTCTGAATACGCTTCATACGAAGTTTAAGTTGAAAAACACAATTTGTAAAGTGCTCCAAAACTACTAGAATTTCCGTTATCGATCTTAAAAGCTGACAAAATTGTTGAAACATTGTCACTCTGGATTCTCCTACTTTTTTGACAGATATGTTCCAGGTGTTCAAAATATATTGCGAAGTTATTTCTGTATCTATAAAACATTATTACGTGAGACTATTTATTTATCAAGTATTTTTATGTACTCAACTCTAAACCTTATTTAATCTAACAGCGATACTTGCGTGATATGGTCAACATAGGATTACTACAAGTGTTTACTCTAGATATCTGTTGTTAGGATCATAATCTACAAATCAATCCCAGAATATTACTACGTATCCTGTGCAACTGGTAATCGTTGACTGGCATTATAGAAGAGAAGTATTATTTTCCTTTTCACAACAACTTATTGTAAGACAATCATGTAGCTTTTTTCCTGTGACACATTAAATTCTACAGAAAGCAAGAAAATATAATGCCATTAAACACTCGAAATTCTTTTCTTTATGCAACATCTTAACTAAATGTAATAAATTTATATTATCTACTTACATTTCTATTGAATTATTTATCCCCAGTGTATTGCAGGAGAGAATGAACAACAATTTTTCGGCCGGAAAAAATATCCCATTCAAGGTAAGTGAGATAATCATGCATAAAATAACGGCAGAACATGCGCACACACACATACATTACTTAACTTTTACTTAAAACGTTTTCTTTTCATTTTAGAAGCATTTTTGTGTTTTCCACCGAAAATGAAAAGGACGATTATTGAATGTTGTATGTATTGAATGCGTCTTTTAGTTGAATACAATAGATATGTTTTTCAATTGTGGTACAAAAGGTTTGATTGTGTCAAACACACAATTGCACACACGTACACACAGACACAACAAAACAAAAAAAGTTTACACTTATTTATTTGAAGTAATCTTTTTATTGGAAAATAAAAATATTAATTTCTTTTCAAGAAGAAAAGAAAATGAAATGAGGAAATGCTTTTTCAATTAAGTTTATTGTTCATTTGATACTGTGAAAAATGGCGATAATGTATGTAAATGAATCAATGAATGAATGAGCAATCAAGCGAGAGTAATATTTTTTTTAAAATTGAGCAGATTAGAAATCATTAAGATCTTTTCTGCCAAATTTGAATAAAATTGACGATATACAAATTAGTAGATTTTGTAATAGTATAGCTACACCTGGCCATACTGGTGTTTTATCTACAGCTACATAACCTCCAAATAGTATCCAACATGCAGCTATTGTACTGCTAAATGCCATTGAGAAAGCGAAAAATAAGCATATAAGTGCTCCGCGACGACCGATACGACTGTCTGAAAATTCATCTCTCAACTAATAAAAGAAGTAAGAGGGAAATTAATAAACACTTACATTTTTGTAAAGTTTAGTTTATTATTTTACATAGATTAACAATCAAACACAAATCAGAACTACATGAGGTAAAAGCCGATTGTTAGCCAAAACGGCAATGAGAATTTTGCAATTAAGCAAGTTAACTCAGATAGTTCAACAAAACTAAAAGCGTTCATCTAATCTGCAAATCTACAACATGAGAATCGATGTCCATATGATATGTTGAGAAATTCTACTTTCGAATAAAATCACCATTTGGAAAAACAGCTCTTAAAACTCGCGAATAAACTATGTGTATCCGTCCTTGACACTTGCATTTACGGCTACTGATTCTGTAGGACACCCTGATTATTTCTTTAAATAACTACAGGTGATCAATATAATATACAACGGGAAATAACTTCCGAGTATAAGTTCTGTTCACCGAAAGTAATGCGAATCAATGTTGTTGCGTATTGGGTGGTTTGAGTCGGTGGTTCAAATCGTGCAGTAGTAGTATCATACGTAGCCCAATAAAGCGTTTGGCTAAAATCTAAGTGCTAAGTCCTAGCAAGCTTGAAGTATAAAACAATACAGTCATCAAACATATTTGATGTATTTCCATATAGTTCGTTCGGTGTTGTTTGATAAACCGATATATAGCGTTTCACTTAAGGCAAAATATACGTTTACATACACAACTTCAAGTTATTAATATTGAAGACATTAAATAAAGTCGGCAATATCCATACCAAAACAAGAACGTCACAAATGTAGTACTTTAATCATAGTGTTTCCAACTCTAGAAAATTCGCCCAGCACAAGATGATCCAGAAATTGCAACAATGATTGATGAATAGCCATATACAATGACAAGGCAAACTACAGCAAGAACTCCGTACGTTCTGGACACAAGGGATTAAAATGACCATTTTTAAGTCTTTCATAAGAAGAAAAAAACCACAGAACGAATCGAATATAATGAAGAGTAAAGCACTGGAATAGTGTCAGTGACTAAAGATAAACGAGAAGTATGTTGGTTATAAATGGGAAAAGGGGAAGTCAGGAATGAAATATTGGGAAGAGTTTGTAAAAATGCAATAAACTTACACAGATCTAGTTAGATGAATGGGCAGACAAAACATACTCAACAACACCCCTAAGTCACTATGACTTCTTAGGTGCTCCAAACCTTGACGCTTGCTAATCAATGGCCTCTGAGAATGGTACTATTAACTATTGCTACAACAACAGTATTGACACAATGAACGACCGTTGACCTTTTCTCTAGCGATTCCCATTAAGATATAATCTACTTATACCACCTCAGTACCTGATATTTTAATTAAAGCTTCGCAGACACATTGACCCCCCCCCCTTGTTATTTTAGTAGCTGGTGTCATAAACCAAACTTTGCATAGTCGATTTTTGCCAAGAGGCAGCGCTAGGTCACTTATTTGCAGGATGAGACGTGTCTGGCCTCACTTTTGTAGCATCTGTAGGGTTGGTAACTATTCTTTGCTTCAACAAAAGAGTCAACAGTCACCCTTATCTTCAATGTCGAGTCTACCATTTGCTAAGGAGAGTATTTTAAATACTTATGGTGATGTGCGGAGTAAGAGAAACGATATAACTGATACTTGTTCGAAATTGTTATACCCCGTGGAAATTTATGAATGGTAACTTTAAGAACTATTTATGGACCAATGTGATATGTAACTAAACTATTCATATTCGTGTTCCTCTTATTATAAGCTTTATTTTGACCTATAGATTATTATTATACGATTTACCGTTCCTGAGTTATCCCCAGTCTATAGATTACTGTTCCCTCTATTCACAGCCACATTTGGCCAAATCTTGTACAAATGTTATTTTCTATTTTGTGGTACGATGTGGTCAATTTGTTCGGTATATAAACCCAGTATGTTTGAGAATAATGATCCACATTGCAGAGGCTGTTATTGGTGTTCTGGACTTAACTGGCTGGCCTAGGCAGAAAGCAGGACTGATAAGTACTCAAGACTGCTCATACAGCTTTTGTGTATCATTGGGCAATCAATAAATTCACTGTTCTCTAATAGGCGAGCCAATCGATATAACAGAAATAAATCCACAAAAAGAACTTTTCTAACGTGTTTCGAGTGTTGTAAAATCCCTCTTAAGTGTCGCAAAACATAGTCCAATTTGCTTCGGTGGATTAAAATGAAATTAAGTTTGTTATGCTAGATTGAAGTCAAAGGTCCAAATGTACCGACAGAAGTCTTGGGAAATTTGCCTGAGTTTCTTTCAAGCTCTTAACAACTAAACAACTTTATAGGTATACCTGAGGTAAACATATTTCTACCTCTACTTTCATGGCTAAGATTAGGTCTCGGGTAAGCAGTTTCACTGAACTAAACGATGATGAGGGAGAAGTTATGTATAGAATTGAGGTTTATTTCGAGTAAATATCAGTCTGCTAAATCAGCGAATCACTTTTTTATTGGTCTGCATATCACCGAATATGTTTAACGTTTGTATTTTGGTTATCATTGGAATCCAAGAACCATGCTTCATCTTTTTTGTCCAAGTTGTATTTCTAAGTTTTCAAGATTTTTCGTAAAACAAGGAGCAATACTTTAGTGTTGTACAGTGCAGTTATTCATACTGTAAGCTGAATCGCAGTATGTGTCAGCTTGAACTGATAAACTTTGCAGCTAGAAAAACTTGCATTCGGTAAATCAGTTATGGTTTACACATATTTCGAAGAATCATTTAAGATATGAAAGCTACTTTATAAAACCAATAATTTCCAATAGTTAAAACCTACCACTCCGTTAGGAACACTGTTGATTAATATGAAAGCGATAGTGCTGAATACTCCAGCTGTATGATATGCATTAGGTAAGGAATCGTTTTCAGCGAAAAGCACAGCTGCGTCAATTGCTATCCACCAGCCTAATGCAAATAAAAATCCTGCAATAATTGATACTATGCTATTGCGGATGCGATCAGGTTCAATATCTCGGAATTGGTCAAAAATAGACATTGTTTACTTGGTGTTTAATAAAAAAACATTAACAATAGTTAGCTAGATAGCAAAACGCTTGAATTTCGACAATATTACGCAGCAAATAACTGACGAATACTAGTATGCAACAATTAGTATTTCAGTTAGTATCTGAGATGCGAGTGGCTTAAGTTTCAATGTCAGTTGCAATAAGGCAGGACATTGTTACTGTATGCTGAGGTTAGGCATAAGATACTCGATAAATGAATCTGTTAGTGGAATTGAATTTTCACCGAACGCAGTGGTTGGTACATGTTTCATTCATCCCTAACCACCTCACACCGACGCATAATGTTGGTCGACACAGAAATATGTCGGAAGAAAGTTAGTGGGTTTCAAACCAAGATGTAGAGCCCAACCATGAAATCAGTGACTTTGATCGAGTTGTGTTTGGACATGCAGACCCCCTAGTTTAATTCGCGTAATGAATATAACCAATGATCGGGTATTCATAGCTTACATTATAGACTTACATCAAAAAAGTACGGGATAGCTGCTTTGTCCTAGTGTGTGTCTACAGATCCATCTCTAATGAGCTGTCACTAGTAGAGCTCAACCATATCAAATGTGAGGATTATTCACCACAAGTAGATGATCGCGCAGTACTGCGAATCGGTTGAAGCTAGAAATGTACACCTTTGGATGAAATCAAGTGGTCGCTACGGTAGTGAAGGTCCTTGATCCGGTCTCCGATGGAGGCGTTGGAACCCATTGCAAAGTCCGATATTAGGATAAAGCAGCTGTTCATTGCTTCCTGGTTTTCAGTGGGTTTCCGAGATCAATCCGTAATGTAAACGTTCAAAACTCAACATTCTCCACACAGCTATATACTAATAATGATGAGATATCTTATTCAGCATGTTTCAGAGTCAATTGCAGTTGCATTCGTTCTTTACCTTCAAACTATATCTGTACTTCCCGTTTCGCCACTCATTTGTTCTTAAATTTTATCATTATTACTACTACTAGTAAACCTGCTTATTCGGTTTTCATCTTAACTTCTTTCTGTAATGTTGATATAAAATGTGACTGGGCTGACATTTACATCTAGTACTATGTTTTTATGACTGACTAAAAATGACACAGAAAGAGTACGTTGAAGTAAATGAGTATGTGCTTGGTTGTTGGCCACATTATTTAATTAATTAAGACATTCGGGCAAATGACAGGACCGAGTTTAAAACGATAAAGTTTATTTTTCGACGAAATCAGGTTTAAAATACATCCCGCTGTTTTCATGAGAATCTGGAGTTCAGAAGGATTATAAAATGGAATCGTTTTAACAGCAGGGTTTTCGCCCAGCGAGCAACCATTTATTTCGAACAAGTATCGATCTTAAGTATGACGATAAACTGACTGTAAACTATCAATGTAATTAAACTACAGCACCACCAACGACTACTGAGAACTATACCTCTCTCTAAGGCACATATTTGTACTACGATTAAATCTTCAGTTAATCATCCGTTCCACATAAAAATTAATTTAGGATGGAAGGACTTTATCAAATTTACTTTAAATATGACAACGTAAAATGAGTACTTAAAAACTGACAAAATGCTTAGATTCTTGAAAGGGATATTCACCTGGTAAAATCCCCAGTTTGTTTTGGAAACACTAGTAGAAACTTAGTCACTACCATTAAAACTCTACAAGCGACCAGCTGGTCTTGACATTTTCAGACTAAAGGGACCTTAGGAATCAATACTAAGGTGGTGAAGGAACTTACGTCTTACATACAATATAATGATGTGTTATCTTTTCAATGTCAATCACCCTGGTTACTGACATTAAACACAGTAAAAAGTGTTTGAAGTAATTTCTAAAACAACGTTTACTACATAAAGTCAATAAACATGATCTGAAGTTTAGTCAGTTTATCGCTAGATATTGCGATGTCAGCCCAATCTCCGGACTTCGGGGAAATTTTAGGTTTCTCCCTAAAGTCATATAAGAACTAGTAGTTTCCCCCCCCTCCCAAAGTTTGGAGAAATCTTGTAGAAAACCCGAAATTCCACCAATACAATTTGAAATTTTGAGGGAAAACCCTACACCAGCGAAGATTTCAGGGTTTTCGTCGCATTTCCCCAAAACCGGGAGATTGGGCAGGCAGTCGCATAGAATATGACATGTATTGTTTCTGCCAACAGTTCGTCGGTAAATAAAGATGGTACTAAATAAATTCTGATAACATTCCTTTAGTCTCTAAAACGTTCTAACACGTATGAGATATCAGAGAAATGAGTGAATAATGCTACATTCTCGTGCTGAGAATTTTATATTGTACCAGATTATAATACTGAATAAAGCCATTAATAATAATAATAATAATACATTATGTAGCATTGTCCGTTATAACGGGTACTGTTTCGACATTTATAGTCAAACTGTTTAAAGGGAATAGAGCAGACCAATCTGACTTGTTTCAACGCCAAAGCCCTGTAGATTTCTAAAAGGAGCCTGTGGTTAGTAATACATAGATCATGGGTTGAAGTATTTAAAACTGTCAAACCGACGTCTGGTTTCAAGCAAATTTGCCATAAGTCAGTACAATATTTTCTTGATTGTAGCGAGTGAGCTGCCCTTATGAATATAACCTTTCTCCAGTTTTATAATGTAGATAATGAACAAATATTCTAAACAGGCATATTCTAGCAGTAGGACTACCTTTATTATGTTGAATGTTAACTTACCGTCAACCAAGAGGAAATCAACTGTGTTATTGGCGCCTGTGGCGAGTTTTTTGAACTTGTTTTGTACAATCCAAACCTGAGATGGCTTCACACAGACATAACTTCAAACTTTAAACGGTTGTGAATAAATTTGAGGAAGCATTTGTTCAACGTAAGCTTGTGTCTGATAGTATAGAATCACTGTTCCTTCCAGGTATGAGCGGTAGGTCAATAATGATCGCCTCTCAGCAGTTTAAATTCTAAAGGCTGAGGATGAAATTCTCTGAAGTCTTCCTAATGGAACCAGAATTGGAGTCGTTGAGTTGGTTTCATTTATCGTCTTTGAATATATTCCGGATTTATCTCATCGCTTTAGAGTGTGCGCGCTATTCGAACGGGAAGTTTAGGCCTAACGTGATTTACATTTCTCAAACTTTTGCTGTGTTCTTACGCAACAAAAGTATCATTTCCAATCCAAAGAATCTATTCTGAGCTGTACGTTCGGTAGATTACTTCTTTTTTTGTGTTTCACTCAAATTAATAGTTAACTGTGGTTTTGCCTCAGCTCACTATCGGTTTTTTTTATAGTTTTCACGTAAAGGCTAGCTTTAGCTTATCGTTAACTGTTTTTATACATTTTTGATAGTTTTTGTTTACTGTGTGTTTTTTTAACGGTCCTAAATTTACTGCTTATATTTTTAAGACAGTCTAAATCACCAGCCATGAAAAATTCATGCAAGAGACCTGGTTGCCGTTTTGCCGTTACATCTGGCATGCAATGTGACAACTGTAAAGGTTGGTTCCATGAGGCATGTACAGATCTAGCAGCAGCAGCCTATAGCAGACTCAGCAAGTCTGATCGTAAGTGCGTATGTGTTACCTGCAACACCGATACGGTAGTTATGTTGTGTATTATCATTACTTTACTGACAGGTCTGAGAGATAAGTTGTCCAAGAATTTGGTAAATGATAGCATCATGACGGGTAACAAAGCTGGAACGCATAGGGCAAACAAGAAAAAGGATGCTGACAGGTCGGTTATCGACGGTGCTGTTAACAGCACGAGTGATGATGTGCTGAAACTCAGCACCATCTTAACATCGACTGTCATCGACTCCCTCAGTAAACTTGGGTCCCCCGGGGAACGGTCCTTGAATGAGACAGTGGTTCCCAAAAATCCTGTAGGTGGATGGACTCACGTTAACAGGAGTAATAAAGCCCAAGCGTCCCCTCCGAAACTGAACGTCCCAAGTATCGTGCGGAAATCAGTTGATGCTTTGGCCGCACAATCTACACCCAAGACTGTCCGCCCGGTCATCACTGAGCCCAGGAATCGAAAACGCGCCTCGACATCCAAACAACAAGATACCAAACCTAGACGACCTGGGAAATCAATTGCGGTTCGTGACGACTCTGTCATAATCATGAACCTTATTGACAACCCCGACCTTCCTCTCAGTTTGCAGGACAAAAACGATAGGATGCTCTGGGGCGAATTAATCAAGAGGCTTGAACTCCCTAAAATAGAGCCTTTGACCGTCACACGGCTCACTCGGGGGAAGGACTCTAACCACCTAAACCACCCGAGGCTGCTTCGTGTTACACTTAAGAATGCCTCCGACGTAGAGGACGTCCTGCTAGCCAGTCACTTACTGAGGTCCGATGGGAACGTAAGAATACTGCCCGACATACCGTATTCTGAACGAAATCTCATCCGGAACATCCCTAAGGAATCTCGCGAGGCGTTTTTCCGTGGACGAAATATCGTTGTGCAAGGTGTACCGGAAAATATGGACCCAACTCAAGCAAACTCTGATATTCGGGAATGGAAATTCATTAAGCATTCCTTAAAACTCAAGAACATATTGACCCAACAGGTAATGTGACTAGCCAAGAGAGAAGGAGACTCTAGGCCCCGGCTGTTGAAGATAACCTTCCCCTCCTCCCACATGGCGGCTGCAACTCTGGAAGCATTTCGTGCCAATAGACGTCGGTTGCCAACTGGCATCCATATGCATCCGGATAGGCCCCACGACAGCAGGATCAAGCACAAACAAAAGCTGGAGCTGACAATTCCACTCGTGGACTGTCTTGATCATTAAAAAAACGTGTAAAGGACAGGGACTACCAACTCGGTAAACATCGTATAGGTAGGCTACCTGTCCACTCACACACGGCTGATATAGACAAACAAGAAGAGGCTCACGCGTTCCAAATTGAAAGCATAAACTGCCTATACACGAATGCCGCGAGCTTGCCAAACAAAATGGATGAGCTACGTGAACTTAGCAACGCTAATGATGCCCATCTGATAGGAATATCCGAAACTTGGATAACGTCTCAGTTTACGGACCAAGAGTTAGCAATAACTGGGATGTCTTTATTTCGCAACGACAGAAAAACAGGAATGGGGGGTGGGGTAGCACTATACATACGGTCATGCCTGGATGCGCACCAACTTCACAACCAAGAGTTTCACAATCTTGACGAGTCAGTATGGTGCTCAGTAAGATTATCTACCACCTCGAGGTGCCTCGTTGGGGTCGTTTACAGGAAGCCCACTGCCGACGTCGAATATGACAAACGTCTGCTGGAAGGATTAACTCGCTCTACGCGTCTCGGATTCTCTCATATCCTGATTGTAGGAGATTTCAATCTCCCTAGAATCAACTTCGTGGAACATACATACATTGATGGTGCCAACTCTACTGAAGCTCTGTTCTTCAACCTTATCGGTGACCTGGGATTATTTGAAAATGTGAAGTCGGCAACCCGTTGGAGAAACAGTCAGACGCCGTCGCGCTTAGACTGGGTATTCACAAACGAAGAATTCCTAGTTGACGACCTCTCAATCCTGGCTCCCCTGGGGAAAAGTGATCACGCCGTCTTATCATTCAGCTTTGTCAGCAAGACGGAGCTACGATATCCTACTAGCAATAAGCGCTGGAACTTCAAACGGTTGAATGTGTTAGCTTTACAGGACTATCTTCAACAGGTGGATTGGGATGTTCACCCTCAAATTGAAGTGGATGCTCATTGGGATTTTTTACTGCACACGATCTTATGTGCTACTGAGCATTCAGTTCCTAAAATGGTCCCAAAAAGCTACAAGCAACCTGCAATCATCAAGAACCGCACTCGTCGTTTGCTAAGCCGCAAAAGGCACTGTTGGGCTGAATATAAACGAACTGATAACAACGGCGCGTACAGGCAATACAAACATATAAGGAACGTATGCACAAAGGCAATAAGAGAAGACAGGCTTCAGTTCCAGACCAAGCTTATCGATAGATTTGTCTCCAATCCGAAGAGCTTATTCCGTTACGCAGCTTCTCTTCGACAAGGCAAAACTGGAGTTTCCCAACTGCTTGGTCCTAATGGCCCGACCAACAACGACAGTGATGCCGCCAACCTTTTGGCTGAACATTACTCCCGGACATTCCAGCTGACCCACATCAACCATACTGACGAAAGCTTCACCTGCACCTGTACAGGACTTTCCGAAGTGGACCTGAGTGCCGACTTGGTGCTCCGTAAACTGCAGAACCTAAAAAAGACACTTCTCCTGGTTCGGACATGGTTCATTCCGCTGTATTGAGGGAAGCAGCTTCAATCCTGGCGACACCACTTAGCGTGATGTTTGCACACTCGCTAAGCAGAGGCAAACTACCGGAAATATGGAAGCTGGCCCACATCGCACCAATTTTCAAAGGAGGTCGACGCAGTGAACCCTCAAGCTACCGACCAGTGGCCCTTCTCTCCATACCTTCAAAAATTATGGAATCCCTAGTATTCGACGGCATACTAGAACACTTATCATCCTCAAAGTTCTTCTCGCCTCAACAGCACAATTTCAGAAAAGGTCATTCTTGTATGACCAACCTGCTGACTGCGGTGGACAGATTGACAACCATCCTTGATCGCAAGGGGAAGGTTGACGTCATCTACCTAGACTTCTCAAAAGCTTTTGATAGGGTCAACCATGCATGTCTTATCAAGAAGCTTGGACGATTGGGTATAAAACCCCCTTTAACTGACTGGATCACTTCATACCTAGAAAACCGACATTTTAAGGTCAGGGTTAACTTCACTCTCTCTCAGGCTATGGAATGTCCTAGTGGGGTCCCCCAGGGTTCAATAATAGGACCTCTTCTCTTCTTGATTTATATTAACGATCTTCCTTAACAATTTTCATCTGATTTATTGCTTTTTGCTGATGATGTGAAACTTTGGAGAGAGATACGTAATCACAATGATATACTAGTTCTTCAGGAGGGTCTGACTCGACTTCAAAGTTGGGCAGACGACAACGGACTTACCTTCAACACTTCAAAGTGCAAGGTAGTCCATCTGAGACATGTTGCAGGCTATAGTTATAACTTAGGTAACTCACCTCTAGAAGTTTCCCAAGTTGAAAAAGGTTTAGGAGTGTTGGTACCCTACGACCTGAAATCGTATGCGAACTGTGACAAAAACGCCTCTCAAGCAAACCTTGTACTGGTAACATTGAAGCGCATTTTTGGCCAGTTTGATGTTAGAACCTTCCATATAATCTTCAACAGTTTTATTCGTCCCCACTTAGAGTACGGAAACATAGTATTTCTTCCCTCCCTCCAAAAGGATAAGGTCACTCTGGAACGTATACAACGTCGAGCCACGAAATCAGTTCGGGGACTCAAATTCAAACCTTATGAAGAGCGCCTCAAATCACTTAACCTTTACCCGTTAGAGTATAGGCGTCTTAGAGGTGATCTTCTTATGACTTATAGTACCCTTAATACTTCTGGTCATCCCCTTAAACATCTTCTTAAGCTTAGTCATAACACTAACCTCAGAGGTAACACCCAGAAATTGGGGACCCTACATAGCAGAACAGACTGCGGACACAACTTCTACTCCGTTAGAGTTGTCAAGTGCTGGAATTCGCTGCCGACTGAGCTAGTCCAAGCGACCTCCCAGGAGTCCTTTAAGAGAAAACTTGACTTATTCTTAAGGATTAAGGATAACATATTATTATGATTTACCAAATTCTTTTTTCCCTCTAT